TCGAGCGGCTCGTGCCGCCGCATGTCTCGAAAGGCATGCGCGAGGAGATGCGCGGCTTGCCTCCCAGCGACGCGCCGCTGCTCCTTCTCGCGCGCAATTTGAACCAAGTTCGACTTGTGCAGCGACGGAAAGTTCTTGAGCACGTGACGGGGCGTGACCGATGCGCGCGATGTCGGGTGGCCGTACGTGTCGTCGCCGAGTGCCCGCAGCTCCGCGACGATCGCCGTGTGTACGTGCGGTAGGGACAGCGTCCCGTGCTGGAGCCGGCCGAGAACGCGGTCGCCCATGTCTGTGGGGCACCCGACGACGACACCGTACTGGTTGAGCACGCTGCGCACATTAGCCGCGTCGTCGCGCAGGAGCGTGAGAAGAAACGAGACGCGCCGGTGCTCGCGCAGGGCCGCTTGCGCCGCCCACGTCGCAACCGGGTCCTCGAGGTGCACCCAATGGCGAAACCCAAAGTAGATGTACCGCTCTCGCTCGAGCTTGCGCTCCACGTAGCGCTTCCTCGCCGTCACGCCGCGCTGCAGCGTCTGGATGAGCTTGGCCTACAGACCCAACATACTATGTCTTCCTCCTCGTCGTCGTCGGCGATCGCACCGCCGAGTGCCGCACGCGCTGGTGCATGGCATACTTCTGTCGCTGCCGCGCCATGCGGTACATGGACTGGATCCGCGTCGCGAGGTAGTCGTTGTAGCCGCCCGACACCTTGGCAAACTGGAGCTCGACGCGGCACTCGTAGTGTAGAAAGTGCAGCACGAGCTCGTCGATCCACAAGAGGATCGCGCGCCGCTACGTTGTGGAAGCCGATAGTGTCATCATCAGACACGCTGTACCTCGATCTCGGTTTGCTGGTACGATGCTAAGAGCGTCTCGACCTTGCTATCGAGCGCCGGGGCTACAATGGACGCCCGCGCGCTCGCCCGTGTCCGCGGCGGCATGGCCGGCTTGATGTACGAGTTGGCATAGAGGAACGCAGCCTCTTGCTTTTGGAGCCACAGCGTTGTGTTTTGGAGCGCGACGTCGGCCAAGTGCTGCGACAGCGCGCGGACGATTTGCACTTGGGGCGAGAGCGGCTCGACGTCGGCTGGCACGCGCAGTGTCCGGTCGTGGTGCCGAGGAGAGCTCGACGACTCGACCGTCGTCGGCCGTCGAGACACGGCGCGACTTGGGCTCTCAAGAGACGAGGTTGGCGCGATGGCGGCGGCGTCGGCGAGCGCCGCCTGCTGCACGAGCAAGTGCACAAAGGGCATGTCGGTCACGAGCGACCGCAGCCAGACGACGTCGTCCAGCAGCAACGTGGTGTCGGTCGTTGAAATGTGCAGCTGTCGCGTGTGTAGAAGGATCCGCTGCAGATCGATGCGGTCCAAGAAGACGCTGCTTTGGGGGGATTTGCTTTCGGGGGATCGACGCAAAGCTGGATCGAGTGGTGCTTCTCGACGAGCGATGTCTCCACGACCTGGCGCGGGGCCTCCGCTGATGACGTGGCGACCGCACAAGCGAGGAGCGGCTCCAGTGGCGACTCGTCGACGAGCGTGAGCGTCTCGGGGGCTGCCCACGCCAAGTGCGTCACGACTGCTTGCGTCCAATTGGGTGAAAACGGCGCGTGGGGCTCAAAGGCTGGCGGTGGCCGCAGCGTCAAGCTGGCGCTGCCGGCTGAGATGAGCGCCGCGCCCGTCGAGAGGAGTGAGACGCGCACCAACGCTTCGCGCGTCCCGTGGTTCGTCGCGCTGTCGAGAACTGGCAGCGCCATCGTCTTCTCAAAGAGGGTTTTCTGGAAAGGCCGGCGCAGTGGCGGCGCGGCCTCGGACAAGGCGAGGAGGTTCGGCCGCTGGGGGGACGACGAGAGGGTGGCTTCTTGGACCATAAAGACCATGTAGCTTGCGTCGACGCGCCAGTTGAGCAGGCGCGGCGTCGGCGATGGCACGGCGGCCCGAGGCGTCTCGGGCTTGGGTGTTGCTGTTGCTGTTGTTGGACGCACGGGGCTCGGCGGCCGGCACGACTCGGAGGTCGAGAGCTTTCGCGGCTCCATGAGTGGCTCGGGTTTAGCGACGTGGGGCAACTCGACCTCATGTCGTCGGGGCGCGACCGGCGTATGCAGGACGCGGTCCCGGAAGATATCTTGACTGCGCTGCCACAGCGAGTCCTCGACGATGGGCGACGACCCTGACGGCGGCGACTCGAGCTCGAACTCGCGCGTCTTGAGCATCTCCCGCGCCAGCTCGGCATGGAGCTCCTTTCGGTCTTCAAAGAGCGGGCGTACGAGGACGCGCCGGTTGCGCCCAAGCAGCCCGGGCAGCAGCGTCGCTGGCTTTGGCGGGGCTTTGGCGACCATGCGCGCCGGACTCGGTGTCGTGGGCACGACCGGGTCAAGCTTCAAAGGCGATCCATGCCGGTTGCCCAGCACGGGCTGCGTCAGCGCTGGTAGCGACAGCTCGAGCGGCTTGGCCGGTTTGCCTGCCCACGCGTGCATCCCTGCGCCTCTGGCGGTTACGATTCGCCAGGCGGAGTACCGGTTATTACGATTGCCAGCGACGAGACAACGAAGCGACCGCGAGACAAAAGGGTTTCAAGGTATAGATATCTGGTTTATGGAGGTTAGGGCAGCGAATGGACACATCCTCGGTCGGTCGCTGGCGCAGGAGCAGCCAGCGCACCTTACTGCTGCTGCTGAAAGTTGAAGACGGTGCCCGAGCCGCCCGAGCCGAACGTGAATTGGTTGGCGTTGGCTGCAGGAGCAGTCTCAACGTCCTCCTCTTCGTCGACACCGCCAAAGTACGTCTCAATGATCGAGAGCGCCTTTTCGTAAATGTCTAAGGCGCCAGATGAGACTCGTCATAATATAAGGATTTTCGTCTACCGTTCTCGTGGTGGTACTGCAGGTTCTGGATCTTGGTGACGCCATCCTGCTCTTCGATCGCGAGCGCCATTGGGTTGTCCGCTTCGCCGTTTTGCTCGGCGTGCGACTGGCCGACACGCAAAATGTTCTCCAGCGCGTCCAAGCAGACGCAAATGATCTTGCTGTCCGTGACATCGAGCAGCGCCACAAGCGGCGGGATGCAGCCTAGTCATGCCACATATTAGCATCCACTTTTGGAACGGATGCGGCAGTACCTTGCTGGACGAGGTAGGCGAGCTGGTCGGGGGTACCGCCCGACGTTGCGTTCGAGACGGCCCACGCAGCTTCTTTGCGGACCTCAAACTCGCCGTTCGCCAACAAGTTCATGAGCGGTGGCACGACCTGCGAGTCGATGATCGCCTGGATCTGTTCCTTGCTGCCGGCCGTGATGTTACTAATGGTCCAGCACGCTTCCTTGCGGATGCCCTTCTTCGCAGAGTTGAGGAGCGGGAGGATGCGCACAAGGGCGCCCGAGCGGATCACGAGGTCCGTCTGCAAGTCGTCGCCCGTGACAATGTTGCCAATCGTGCGCAGGGCCGGCGTCTGCACCGACGTGTTGGGGTGCAAAAGGAGCTCAATCAGTCGCGGCACGACGTTGGCTTCCAAGACAGCTTGGATCTTGTGGTTCTCGCCGTCCGAGAGGTACGAGAGCGCCCAGCACGCGTCCGTAAGCACGTCCTCGTCCTGCGAGTAGATGAGCTGCGCGAGGCTCGGGAGCGCGGGCTTGACAAACTCAAAGTGGGGCTGCGGCTTGCCACGGCAAAAGTTGCTCAACGTCCACGTCGCGTTGCGGAGCATGCTCTGCTTGGCGTTCTCCGTGAGCTGCTGGATGAGCGGCATGAGCGCGCCCGACTGCAACACGAGGTCGCGGCACGTCGGCGAGTCGCCCGAGATGTTGCCGAGGGCCCACACCGCCTGCTCGCGCACTTCGTCGTTGGGCGACATGAGGAGGCGGACAAAGCGCTCGACCGCGCCGTTCTCAATGACAATGCGCGTGTGCTCTGACGTGCCCGACGCAATGTTCGTGAGCGCCCACGCCGCTTCAAACTGGAGCTTCGGGTACTGCTCGTAGCTCAAGAACGACGTAAAGAGCGGGACGACGTTCATGTTGATGACCTCTTGGATCGGCGGGTTGTTTTCTAATGCATGCCATAAGCACCAATATCGATTGGCACATCGTTCGCGTTGTACGTACCGATCGAGAGAAGCTTGCGGAACTTGGTGACGGCCGCGAGTTGCACCTCGACGTCCGATGAATGCACCTGCTCGACCATCTCGGGCAGCTGCTGGAGCTACGTACACACAACATGCATGAGTGATCCACATCGCATGGAGCTGATCTCGTACGTAGGCCTGGGCACCCGGGGTCCCCGAAAAGGCCGTCTCTTCGGCCGTCGTCGCGCCCATGACCATGCGACGGCGCTGGTTGACCTGCTCGTCCTTCTTCGTCTTGCGGATCATGACCGTGGTCTCTTCCCGGCGGCGACGGGTCTCATCCGTGTCGATACCCTTCTTGTAGTTCTTATGGCGGTCTCCCGTGGGCGTTGCATGGCGCTGACTGATTTCTCGACTGTGAAGAAGTCACGCGTACGAACCACCAAGTCTTTTCGGCCTGCCTCCTCCCAGACGGAGAGCGACCCCTATCCTCTTGGTATTTGTATGCAAAGGCACTCTCTCCCAACACGCTCACTCTCACTTGCTTTTTGTATACATCGCACCAGGTATGAGAGAGGCCCCGAGAGTGCAGAGATCTTTACCACAAGACGCACCTGCTTTTAGGTGCGCTTTTCAATGAAGAAGAAACGCACGTCGACCGCAGAAGCGTACCGGTACGAGCGCGCGGACAAGAGACCTCGCATGAAGACCAACATGGTCCAGAACAAGCTGCTTCAAATTGCCGCGCAATGCCTTCGTTGTGCGGACTGTATCGGCCATGGGCCAAGGCGCTGATCAACGTGGTGAGGTGCGCTTCCAAAAGTCGGTGCGCTTCTTATCCGGATGCGTATCCGGCCTTCCAGAAACAGTCCGCTTGTCACAGCCAGCGAACCAGCCAGCGCCTCGGTGGACGGTAGCGAACGATGGGACTCGACGTGGCAAGGCCGAGGTCGCAGCGCCGTCGCTGGTAAAATACTTTAGCACGCATCTCGCTGCTCACGGAGCTAAAGAAGGATGTCGAGCGAGGCGAACCCGCACGCTGCACAGTCGAAAGATCGCACGGCAACGACCGACGTCTTTTTGTCCAATCACAGACAGCATCCGAGTTGGCGCGAAGCATCTTTGGCAGCGCATTGGCTGAGAGATATCCTTGCGCTTCGGATTGGTCGACGCCTTGCGCTCACGACGCGTCACCAACTCCATGCTCGACTGTCTTGGACTCTGTCGCTTCGAATGCCAGAGGTATGTGCCAGCGAGGTCATCCCTCCGGAGGCTTTAAGGGCATAGAAATGACCTTGGTAAACACCAGTACTAGATCTTGGCAGGCACGTCCGAAGATCGTTTATCGTTGTTGAGGCCATAGCAGCATCGACCTCCATGCTACGCAGCTTATCGTTGTTGCCCTCACTAGTTACCTCGGCAGCCAGCAGTCTCAAGTACAAAAACGGATCGTGTTCGTTTGTTCTACTCTAAAATCCTCACAATACCTATCATCATCTCTGGGCTCTATGTCATGCCTATTCGTCGTCCTTGAGCTTGGCGAGCGTCGCTTGGTGCGCGATTTCGTACTCCTTCCACGCCTCCTTTTGCCGGTGCGCGACCATGTGGTGCTCGAGGACTTCTTCCATGAGCACCTTGTTGAACTCGGACGACGCGCTGCCGTACGCCGCGGCTTGGAACGCAATGACGAGCTTCGAGATCTCACGACCCGAGAAGCCCTCGATACGCGACGCGACCGACACGAAGTCGTCGTACTCAATGTCCTTGACCACGATTTGCTTGGCCTTGGAGTTGGACTTGAGGAGGTACTTGTCAACGTACTGCTGGAGCATGCGGACGCGCTCGTCGAGGCCCGGGAGCTGGAACTCGACCATCTCGTCGATACGATCGTTGATCGCCCAGTCAAACTGTTCGGGCTGGTTGGACGCAAACACAATCATAAACTTGTCGCTGGCTTCACCCGTCCGGTACAAGAACGCGTTGAGCGCGTTGCGCATGTCTTCACTCATGACTATAAGAAAAGGAATAAGTCCTCCATGAATACACGACGAGCTTGAAGGGAGCGTACCGGCGTTCGAGCGCTTCTGGAGGAACGCGTCGGCTTCATCGACGAAGAGGAGGAGGCCGCGGTTCGAGTGCGACGCCCAGTCAAAGAGCTTGTGGATCTCCGTGACGCCTTCGCGGCCGAGCGGCGCCACGTCACCGCCCGTGAGGATCGCGTACTCGAGGCCCGAGTGGCGCGCGAGCGCCTTGGCAAAGAGCGTCTTACCCGTACCGGGCGGGCCGTGCAGCAGCAAATGACGGAACGGCGCACGGTTCTTCTTCGTGTTGAACGTCGAGACCGCGACCGAGCGAAGGCGTTCGTCGAGCTTGGGCTCGAGGACGACGCCTTCAAGGGCGTCCGAGGGCGCGCCCATGCGAAGGAGGCGCTTCACCGACGGGATCGGGTTGGTCGCAACCTGGAGTGCCGATCGGCGCGACGTCTCACGGACAAGGCTCGGCTTGCCGAGGCGGGCTTCAATGTAGCGGCCCGTGACGCTCGTCGAGACCTTGGCCGTGTACACACCAAGCGCAAGGAGCGAGAGCGACATGACGGTGGCAGAGAGCTTCTCCGAGTCGCCCAAGAAGGCCATGACACCCGACCCGACCGTGTCGGAGGCGAGCTTGATGCCTTCCATGACCGTCTCGCGGTACTCCTTGGCGCGGACGCGCGCTTCCTCGAGATGCAGATCGTGGTTCAAGCGTTCCTGCTTGATGCGACCTTCCACTTCAGCCGCCACCTTGGCCATCTCCGTCTTGGTGCGGAGCTCGGCTTCGTACTCGAGCGTCTTGCGGCGCGAGGCTTCCTGGCGCGCGAGCATCTCTTCCTGCTTCTTCATCTCCTGCTCCTTGAAGAGCTTCTGCGCCGCCGCCTGGTCAGCCCACTGCTTGCGCTTGAGCTGGTCCTGGTACTGCGCGCGGCGCTGGTTGTGTTCGGTCTGCGCTTCCATGTTCTTGCGCGACTCCTCGCCTTCCTTCTGAATGCGCTGCACTTCGTACGCCTTCGTAAGTGCTTCGTTCTCCTTGACCTTGGCCTGGTACTCCATCTGCTTGGTCGTCTCGGTCTCCTTGGCCAAGTTGAAGGCTTCCTTGGCGTACTTGGACTTCTCAAGGTCGCGGGCCGCCTTGGCCGCGCGCTCGAGGCCCGACGGGTCGAACGAGTAGCCGTTGTTGCTACCGCCGCTCGAGGCCTGAGCAGGAGCCGCAGGGGCAGGGGCAGCAGCGTTGGCCGGGGTCTCCTTGCGTCCGCCAAAGCCAAACATGATGCGCGGTACGATGAATCTTCTGGAATAAGGGCTCTGGTCACCAACAAAACACGAGGGGGGGTGGTCCAACTGCAACTTGAATTTAAGTACCTTGCTTGTTGTATCCAATCCAAGTTGTGGGAATAAAAATAGTGATTGGCCGAGTCGTCCAGCGCCGCCAGTCGACTAAACGCACCCAACGCGACGCTGCTTGCAGGTTGGCGCCAGGCGCAAGGACAGGCAAGGCCTCGCCTGTCGGTATTGACGCCTTGCACAAGGGTGCCCATGGCCACTAGGTAGCACCACAGCAATGCATGCACCGCATCCGCCTCGGCCATTCCTGAGCAAAAACGTGATGGTGTCCGTCGAGCCACAGGAAAGTTGGGTGTTTTTACTTGGCTCGTCGTGCCAGCTTGTGGCGCAGGTTCCGAACCACACCGAACGCGGCGCTGCGGCTTCGATCTGCGTCGGTCTTTGCTTCCTTGTATCGCATGGCGCGGGCTTGCAAGCCAATGACGCGACGAAACCACCGCCAAGTGGCCCACAACAGCACTGCAAGGATCGTCTATCCTTTGGGATATTGCCTTGACGAGCTAGCTGCAGCACGGTCCCTCGCATAACTCGCATAAGCGCAGCGCATCCACGAGGCGCCAAGCGCGCATAGTGTCATTGCAGCCCAGTGGACGCACGTGAAGGTGCTCCCCACGAACTTTCTCACTGCCACATCTCAAAGATTGCGCACGCTTTGCCGACGCAAACAACCCTGCGAGCGAGGCAGCCTCATGCTGAATGCCATGCGACTTCATTGCTTTCGCACCGCTCATCGCAGAGCCCGAGAACGACACCTCCACGCGCGTCTCGATGCTTGACACAGTCTTCACACCGTCCGCTTGGCCCTGGCGCTTGATACTCGTCGCAATCTCGATGCGGTTTGTTTCCTCGTCGCCTCCGAGTCCTGGCAGCGATGGTGGCCCAAGGTTCGTTTCTGCTCATCCTTGTTCCTCCTCGCAGACTCTAGCATACACAAGCTTGCGTAAGCCTCCATGACACGCCGTTTCATTACGCATAGCAGCGGTATGAGCTCGACGGCCCGAAAGTACTCCTCGATTGCCCATCCGACGACGCGCGGGTTGGCTCAGTACAAGGAGGAGACATCATAGAACGTAGTGGAATCAATGGCGTCGTATTACATGGTCCAGCCACGGCCCGTGTGGGCACATGACCTTTTCAAACTCGGCCCGTGACCCCTCACCCTGATCTAAAACTAGATCCATCGCTTACTCTTCGACGTTTTCGGTGACCGTGCCCTTGTACGTGGCGACCTGGACGTGCTGGACGAGCGTGTAGAGCTTCTCCTTGGCGTTCTCGTCGTCGTTGCGCTTGCGCGAGAGACGGACGCGGACGCGGTACGGGATGTTGCGGACACCCTGCGACCAGATGAACTTGTTCAACTTGGCGTCGATGCGGACATCCGACGTCTTCATGGCCTTCTGGGCGAACGCCTTGATTTCACGGACGGCCTTGGGGGCCTTCTTCTTGAAGGTACTAAGTGCTCGTTAAGGAAGTCTCCAAGGTGGGAGCTACAGAGAGGAGCTTTGGAAAAGACATGCAGGTTAGAGAGCGTCAAAAAGGATACGCGCCATGGAGACGCTTGTGGAGGTTGATCGTGTAGTCACGCGAGATGACGTCGGCAACGACCGTCTTCGTCTTCTTCGTGTTTTCCTTGGCCATTGTGATGCGACTTGAGCTCAGAAGGGTGAGTTATGGAGTAGGCCAATCAGCCCCAGAGCCCAAACCACGACGACCAATACTTTTGCACACCAGTCATTTGCCACCAAGCCGCAGACGACCAATCAACGACCAGCGTCACGCCACCGGATAATTGTAGTTTATCCGGACCCGCCCGTTTTTCAAAATCCGCTCGCGCCGGCGAAAGGGGCTCGACTTCACATACGATGTCTGCATGCGTGATGAGAAGCAATACGCGAAGACGCTTCATGTTGCTGCTGCTACTTGCTACCTGCGACTTGCCAAGTTCGAATGAACGTTGTCTACCGACTGGTTGAAGAGGAGGCTTCTAGTTGGGGTCGCCTGCACGGCCCTGCCAGCGAGAGTCGAGTGGTGGAGGGCTCCTCCAGTTGATGGTGCTGCACAGGTTGAACCAGGTCGGTTGCGAGAAGGTTGTCGAAACAATCGTTGGCCTCCTTTTCACGTCGGTTTTTTGCACAGGCTAGCACGGTCCATGCGTCCAGGGTGTCTTTGATTATCTTGATGCAGACGAGATTGACGACCATCCGAAGCCATTGACATGACGCTTGCCAAGCAGCAGAGCCATAGTACCTCTTGGCTACATTCTACCTAGATCCATCGGCGCTTCTTTGGATACGATGCATAGCCATGTCGGCAAATGGCATCTGCATGCACAACACGCGACGAGGATGCCGCTCGACAGTGGTGGGCCAGTAAGCCACCGCGCTCGTCTTGGCTGCAACCACGAGCCTCGTCGCTGCGCCATTAACTGTAAATGTTTTTTGGCAAGCCTCGAGTCGACACGATGGCACGTTGCTACAGTTTGAAGAGAACAGTATCATGGCATCGCTCGCAGCCGACGTGGGGTGCTGCAGGATGAACGCGTCGCGCGGTCAAAGCACTCGCGTTCTATCAACCATTCGGATTGATGTATGAAAGATGCACGACGCAACGAGGCAAGCCAAAGGAACTAGCACGCAGGACACAATCATGACAGGACGAGACGCGCGAGCCCACAGTCTTTGCTTTCGACCAGGACGCTTGGGTCTGCAACGCAGGCCGTGCCACGGTACTATCAAGGGCTCTTGGTAGTAGTACACTGCCCGATAGCCTTATCGGACGCCGGCGAAGAAGGAGAAAGCCTGGCACACAGATCGCGGAGCAAGGTTCCGCACTCGATCAGTATACCAGCAACAGCAATCAGATGATCAATAAGATGGGTTGAGACACTGTCTTCGCCCCGCTTGCGCGGGCTATAGCCAAGCGCGCTAGCTGGTTGGCGCTGTTAGCACCTGCCTCTGCGCTCTGCGTGGCCTTTGTCGCGGCTCGGACGCCCGCAAGAACTTGTCGCGAGGTGGCAATCCAGTGTATCCGTAGATCATCCGGATATTCGTCTGGTGGATTTCGCGTCAAAATTGAAAATGCAGCGGCTTTTTCACGGTGCTTCGCCCATGATCATCCGCATCAAGCTCATGGCCGTCTTCTCGTCGTAGCTCCGGCAGGCCGGCGTCTATGGCCGCGCGCCGCCACTGCTTGGTCGCGATCGATGGCCTCGTCCAGCGACGCGACCCTTGCGACGCAGGACTTTCGCACGCACACGTGCGGCGGCCTGCGCGAAGGCGACGTCGGCAGCAGCATCAAGCTCTCCGGTTGGGTCGACGCGGTGCGCGCGTTCGGACCGCTCACGTTTGTGTCGCTTCGCGATCGCCATGGCACGACGCAGCTCGTGTTCTCGGACGAGCGCGTCGAGGCCGCGAACCAGCTCAAGCCCGAGTCGGTGATCCGCGTCACCGGCGCCGTGCGCGAGCGCCCCGATACCATGCGCAACGCCAACATGGCCACGGGTGCGATCGAGGTCGTCGTTGACAGCGTCGAGACGCTCAACACGTGCGCGCAACTGCCCATGCAGGTACCATTCATACATGTCGATGCTTGCGAGATTGCATTTCTCATGCGACCAGGTGAGCACGGGCTCGGACGTTGCGACGGAAGAGACGCGGCTGCGTCACCGGTATCTGGACCTGCGTCGCGCCTCGCTGCAGCAAAATCTCGCCGTTCGCTCCAAGGTCGCCATGACAGGTACCGTCGTGAAGCCATGCCGCCATACGAAATGACATGTCATCCAGCGCGCAACTACTTGTGCGACAACGGTTTTCTTGAGATTGAGACGCCGACGCTCTTTAAGAGCACGCCCGAAGGCGCCCGCGAGTTCCTCGTGCCCACGCGCACCAAGAACCAGTTTTATGCGCTCACGCAGAGCCCGCAGCAGTACAAGCAGGTAATATGCCTACTCCTCCGAACGCCTGGCACGAGACGAGTCACAGCTGCTCATGGTCGGCGGCCTGGACCGGTACTTTCAGCTCGCACGCTGCTACCGCGACGAAGGCGGTCGCGCGGATCGCCAGCCCGAGTTTACGCAGATCGATCTCGAAATGTCGTTTGTCAACCAGCACGACATCATGGGCATGATCGAAGTACATCTTCACATGCGCATGAAAGCGATCGGTGCGTCGTCGTGTCTAGGGCATGGTCAAGCAGATCTGGCACGGCGCCAACGCCTCGATCGACATGTCCACGCCATTCCCGATCATGAGCTTTGACGAGGCCATGGATCGCTTTGGCGTCGATAAGCCCGACACGCGCTACGGCCTCGAGATGCGCGACATCCTCGCGCACATGCCCAAGGACGTCGTCGGCGACGCGCCCGTCGTGCGCGCCATCAACGCCAAGCAGCTCGGTCTGCACGGCTTCTCGCGCAAGGACATTGGCGAGCTCGAAGCGCTCTCGAAGCGCCTCTCCGTCGATGGCAAGGGCGCGTTTGTTGTCAAGGTCGACGAGGTAGGATGAGGCACCGTGGAAACCCGCGACAAATCGGAGTAGGGTCAAGCGTGGAAGTCGTCGCTGGCCAAGAAGCTGTCCAACGACCAGCTCGCGGCGCTCAACATGCAGTTGGAGGTCGACGCGGGCGACGTGCTCCTCATTGCGTCGGGCTCGTATGCATCGGTGTGCACGCTCCTCGGGCGCATGCGCATCCAGTGTGCGCAGATGCTGTACGCCAAGGGCTTTCTCCAAAAGGAACTCGACCCGTTCAACTACCACCATCTCTGGGTCGTGGACTTTCCCATGTTTGAGCTCGACGAAGGCGGCAACGGGCTCTCGGCGACGCACCATCCGTTCACGGCGCCCCAGGCCGCGCACCTCCCAACACTGCAAGCGCTCCTCTCAACGGGCCAGAACGCGTGGGAAGACGAAGCGATGCAAACCGCGCTCCTCAACATCAAGGCGCAGCACTTTGACTTGGTCTGCAACGGCTGGGAGCTCGGCGGTGGCTCGATCCGACTGCACTCGGTGGACCTCCAGAACGCCGTCTTGCAGCAGGTGCTCAACTTGCCCGAGGTGCAGAAGAAGAGCTTTGAGCATCTCTTGAACGCGCTTGGCCACGGTGCCCCGCCCCACGGTGGCATTGCCTTGGGCCTCGATCGCTTGGTCGCGATCCTCTGCGGCGCGTCGAGGTACTTGGTCGTTTGGAGATGCATCGCTCACGCAACCACGTAGCTTGCGAGATGTGATTGCGTTCCCCAAGTCGACGACCGGGAACGAGCTCATGACCGGATCGCCCGGCCCCGTCACGCCCGAGCAGCTCCTCGAGTACCACATTGCCGTGAACCAGGCGACGACGACCGCATAGAGACGCCCTTACATAAACGTGGCGTGTGCTTCCGCGCATGTAGCCAACTGCACTGGCACACGCCACGACCCTTCAACGTCGTGTCGATGGTCCTGGATCGCGAGCTTCAACACCGAGAGTGTCCCACTCTATTACCGCTCCCCACGAGCTTGCCGTTCGCAGCGTATCCAAGCAAGCCACCACTGGTGCCACAACCCACGAGCAAAACCCGTCACACACTGGAGCATTGGCGTCGAGCTTGGGCGCCGCGTTAGTGAGTGCTTGCAGGCAGCATTCTCACGTGTCGATCATCAGAAGCCAGTTCGACATCATGCTGCTTGCTGCCAGCTGGGTGTCATGGGATGGACGACGGTCGATGCACCACGCATCTGCTCCTCGTGCCGCGTCCTGTATACAGGTGTGTGGAGCTTGTACCTAGCATAGTCTACCTCGGTATCGCGAGCATGGCCTTCCATGCTTCCCTCTGCGTCTCCTGCCATGCGTCGGCTTGCATCTTGTGGCCAGGAGAGCGCCATCGTGCCAGCCTCTGAGCGGCCGCCACGAGGGCATGACGCAATCACGCACCGTTTTTTCTCATGTTTCTCTCATATGCTTTTCTTTTATCTATCCCGTCTCAATATGTGGCATTGCGCAAGTGTAATATCTGTGTCGCGACGCTTGTGAGAAGTCTAAAAATACCGCCTTCAATGTGCTTCTTATTTCGCACCATAATAAATCCAAGAGAAGATAAAAATATCGCAATTAAATACGTGGCGGCGCCTCGCATGGAATCTTCGAAGCCAGCCTTTCTGCCACGCCAGAGTGGCTTTTGCATCCAACCAAACTTGGTGGAGGCACGTTCCTGCCTCGCGCCTGCGCCTCCCACGTACCCAGTCGAGTAGCTAGCAGCATGGCGCGAACCCACGCCGAGATCCTGGCGGCGCCGTACGTGCGCGGCCAGACCGACCTCTTTGAGTACCTGACCGCGCTCATGTCGACGCGCATCCTCATCTTTGACGGTGGCATGGGCACGATGATCCAAAAGCACAAGTTTTCCGAGGAAGAGTACCGCGGCGAGCGCTTCAAGGACTGGCCGCACCTCGTGAAGGGCAACAACGACCTCCTCTCGCTCACGCAGCGCCAGATCATCAAGGACATCCACACCGAGTACATGGAGATTGGCGGTGCGCAGCTCATTGGCACCAACACGTTTTCGGGCACGACGATTGCGCAGGCCGACTACCACATGGAAGACATCGTGTACGAGATCAACTTCGAGAGCGCGGCGTTGGCGCGCGAGGCGTGCGACGAGCTCACGGCCAAAAACCCGCTTTTGCCCCGCTTCGTCGCCGGCTCGATCGGCCCCACGAACCGAACGCTCTCGATCTCGCCCAATGTCGAGGACCCGGGCTTTCGCAACGTCACCTTTGACGAGCTCGTCCAAGCGTACTACGAACAGATTGAAGGCTTGATGGACGGCGGCAGCGACATCCTCCTCGTCGAGACGATCTTTGACACGCTGAACGCCAAGGCCGCGGTCTTCGCCGTCGACAAGTACCAGACCGACAAGCAGACGCGCATCCCGCTCTTCATTTCCGGCACGATCGTCGACATGAGCGGGCGTACGCTGTCGGGGCAGACGACCGAAGCCTTCTACGTGAGTCTCCGTCACTCGAAGCCGTTCTGCATCGGTCTCAACTGCGCGCTCGGCGCCAACCAGATGAAGCCGTTCTTGCGGCGCCTCGCCAACGTCGCCGAGTGCTTCGTCTCCGTGTACGCGAACGCGGGTCTGCCGAACGCCATGGGCGGCTACGACGACGACCCGGTGCTCATGGCCGAGTACTGCGGCGAGTTTTGCGAAGAGGGCCTCCTCAACATGATTGGCGGCTGCTGCGGCACGACGCCCAAGCACATCGCTGCGATCGCCGCCGCCGCCGCCAAGCACCCGCCGCGGCCCACGCCGTCGCCCAAGGCGCCCTTCATGTGGCTCTCGGGGCTCGAAGACATGGTCGTCACGAAAGAGCGGTTCGCGTTCCTTAACGTCGGCGAGCGCTGCAACATCTCGGGCTCGATCCGGTTCAAGAAGCTCATCTTGAAGGGCGACTACAGCACGGCCATGGAGGTCGCGCGCGCGCAGGTCGAAGAAGGCGCGATGGTCGTCGACGTGAACGTGGATGACGGCATGCTGGACGGCGTCGCGGCCATGGAGCGCTTCCTCAAGATTGCGGTGACCGAGCCAGACGTGTCCAAGGTCCCGTTCATGATCGACTCGTCCAAGTTTCACGTCGTCGAGGCCGGGCTCAAGTGCGTCCAAGGCAAGTGCATCGTCAACTCGATTTCGCTCAAGGTCGGCGAGGCAGAGTTCATCCGGCACGCCAAGATCGTCAAGAGCTACGGCGCGGCGGTCGTCGTCATGGCGTTCGACGAGTATGGCCAAGCCGCGACCGAGGCCGAGAAAGTCCGCATCTGCAAGCGGTCGTACGACATCCTCGTCGGCCCGCACGTCTTGTTTCCACCCGAAGACATTATCTTTGACCCGAACATTCTCACGATCGCGACCGGCATGGACGAGCACAACAACTACGGCGTGGACTTTATCAACGCGTGCCGCGTCATCAAGGCACAGAACCCGTACTGCAAGATCAGCGGCGGCGTCTCGAACCTCTCGTTCGGCTTCCGCGGCGTCAACGTCATCCGCGAGGCCATGCACAGTGTGTTTCTGTACCATGCGGTCCAGGCCGGCATGGACATGGGCATTGTCAACGCTGGCATGCTCCAGATCTACGATGACATTCCCGCCGACCTCTTGCAAATCGTCGAAGACGTGGTCTTGAACCGGAACCCCGAGGCCACCGAGAAGCTCCTGGACCGATCGGTCATCGAGCGCGAGAAGGCTGAGGCCGCCAAGAAGGGCGGGACGGGCGCGGTTGTCTCGCAGCAGGAGTGGCGCACCAAGCCCGTGAACGAGCGCCTCACGCACGCGCTTGTCAAAGGTATCTCGGACTACATCGACGCGGACGTCGAAGAGATGCGGCTGCTCTGCGCGCGGCCGCTGCACGTGATCGAAGGTCCGCTCATGGACGGCATGAACGTGGTCGGCGACCTCTTTGGCGCGGGCAAGATGTTTCTGCCGCAAGTCATCAAGAGTGCGCGCGTCATGAAGAAGGCGGTGGCGTACCTGCTGCCGTACATGGAAGCCGAGAAGGCGGCCAAGCAAGCGGCCGACAAGGCCAACGGCATCGTCAGCGAAGTGGAAGACGACGACTCGATGTACGCGGGCAAGGTGCTCATGGCGACGGTCAAAGGCGATGTGCACGACATTGGCAAGAACATCGTCGGTGTCGTCCTTGGTTGCAACAACTACAAGATCATCGACGCCGGCGTCATGGTGCCGTGCGAGGAGATTCTGCGGCTCGCCAGAGAGCACAAGGTCGACATCATTGGCCTCTCGGGCCTCATCACGCCGTCGCTCGACGAGATGGTGTTTGTGGCCAAGGAAATGGCCAAGGCCGGCATGACGCAGCCGCTCATGATTGGCGGCGCGACGACCTCCAAGATGCACGCGGCCGTCAAGATCGCGCCGCAGTATGCGACGATCGACCACCCGGTCATCCATGTGCTCGATGCGTCGCGATCGGTCGTCGTCGTCGGCAACCTCCTCAAGGAAGACGAGAAGGCCGAGTTTGTCGAAGAGATCCTCGAAGAGTACGAAGAGATGCGCGAAGACTACTACGCGTCCCTCGACGACGTCAAGATGGTGCCGTACGACCGGATCCGGGAGCGAGGGCTGCAGATAGACTTTGCGACCTCGCCGCCGCACGGGCACAGCCACTTTCTTGGGAACCACGTGGTCGAGAACGTCGACCTTCACGACCTGCTCCCGTTCATCGACTGGAACCCGTTCTTCCAGACGTGGGAGCTCCGAGGCCGGTACCCGAACCGCGGCTACCCCAAGATTTTTGACGACGAGAACGTCGGTGCTGAAGCCAAGAAGCTCTTTGACGACGCGCAAAAGATGCTTAAAGAGATCCTCAAGGCCAAGTCGCTCTCCGTGCGCGGCGTGATTGGCATCTACAAGGCGCACCGCGTCGGCGAAGACGTCGTCCTCTACGACCCCAAGCAGCCCACAAAGGTCGTCGCCACGTTCCACATGCTCCGCCAGCAAGCCGAGAAGGAGACGGACGAGCCGTACTTGTCGCTGGCCGATTTCGTGTCGCCGGCCGAGCTTGGCTTGGAAGACCACGTCGGCATGTTTGCGGTCGGCTGTTTTGGCGTCGAGGAGCTCGGCGTCCAGTACGAGGCCAAGCACGACGACTACTCCAAGATCATGGCCCAAGCGATCGGTGACCGGCTCGTGGAGGCGTTCGCCGAGTACATCCACCGCGACATGCGCGTCCGGCTCTGGGGCTACGCGCAGCACGAAGAGCTCGCGCAAGAAGATCTGCTCAAGGTCAAGTACGACGGCATCCGCCCCGCACCCGGGTACCCGAGCCAGCCCGACCACACGGAGAAGCGCACGATGTGGAACCTTCTGAACGCCGAGGCGCTCGGGTTGCATCTCTCGGAGAACTTTGTGATGATGCCGGCGTCGTCGGTGAGTGCGCTCTGCTTTGCGCACCCGGCGTCGCAGTACTTTGCGGTCGGCAAGATCGCCAAGGATCAAGTCGAAGCGTACGCGGCCCGGAAGAAGCAGTCGGTCGAGTTGACGGAAAAATGGCTCTCGCCAATCCTCGCCTACGACCGCGACTAAGACGACGACGACGACGACGCCCGTGTGGCAATGGACCCTGCCAGGCGAACCCACGCCTGCCGGGGTCGCACGTGCTTAAGTGCACGTGTTGCTACATCCCATGCAACCATGTCATGTAGCGGCCCACACGGACATCGCGCAGTCGGTCGTCGACTAAACTAATGACTAACGAACTATGTATATATCTGTTCCGGACCTCGGATGGGCATGTATGGGGAGGGCGGGACGACTGGAACCTAGCCTCCGTCGTTTGGTGTCTCTTCCGTTTCAGGTTCCCAGACACAACGTGCCATGCTATCTGTGGACTTTGGCGAAGTTTCGGGTCCAAGTAAGACGCCAGGCTCTACTATTGCTGCTGCATTTCGTTCTGCGAGGCGACACGAGTAGATGGACAAGACTGCATACACAGTCGGGTAGCTAGCTGCTCTATTGATTGATGCATGTCTGTACAAGAACGTGGGTTTACAAGTGGTGGTGGTGGTTGTCTGTGGCTTTTCTGGTGCAATACGAAGACGACGACGACGAGAAGAAGGTGCATGGGCTCAACACGACATGCTTAGCCCGTCGGCGGGGCTCAGCTTGGCCTTCTTTGGGCGCGAGAAGAAGGCTGCGGCTGGCGGCGACGCGAACGCGTGAAACTTGGAGTCGAGGATCACGGGATTGCCGGCTCGCGTTGGCGGGCTCGTGAGCTCGACGTCCGGCCGCTGCACGATCGAGCGAAAGTGCCACTTGGCGCGGTCGCCTAAAAGCGCTTCAAACTCGTCTTGGTGGGCGCAGAGCTCTTCCTTCTCGCACCTACGCCATTGCATGCGTGGTCATGGGCCACAGAAAGCGCTTGGACAATTACCGGTCGAGGGACGAGTCTCGGAAGATGAGCTCGGGCGAGGTCACGCGACGGGGCCGGGGCGCGCAGAGCGGCTTGGCGTGGCGGCTCGAGTCCACGTCGAGGCCTGGGTCTGCCTTGTCCGCTGCCCGCCACCGGCCGGCCTCGGGCGGGAGTTTGCTCGCAGCATGTGCAAAACCAAAACTGACTGCGAGTTTGTATGGAATTCCATTGCGCGTGATGACGACGGCGCGTATCCGGAGGGCCGTTGCAACGCCCAAGATAGGATAGTCGCACGCAACTTGACTTGGACGACAACGGTTCATCACCCGCTGTAGCCGTCGGTCGAGTCATCAAGGGCTCGGTGCATGGTATGGTTTCATGCCAATGCATCACGGTGCAATGGTACGCTACCAAGTGAGCACAGGTATTTGTGCAGCAGCTAGCGAGAGTCCGTTCTTTCCAATCGTTGGGCGGAAATAGCCGCAGAGTTGGGTGCGATTAGTTCGCTGCGCTGTCGCAGGTTTCTCGGTGAGGAGCCGCTGGGTATCCGGATCGCACACGGCCACCCCAGGCTGCCACGCCATCCTCGTCTTCGGCCTTGTCCATCGAAGAAGCCCCTGGGACATCGTCTTCATAAGTCACATTTCAGGAAGCCGGGTGCAGATAGCTAATATGTAGACGCGATGAAGCAACTGATGTGAGGCTGGTAAACGACCGCGTTGGTACTTTTAACAGATACCGAGCGGTTTACATGTACACGCCGGCGGCAAAGCCAGCGGCAAAGCCGCTCGACGACGGAAAGTTGTACTGCGCAAACTCGAGGAAGCGCTTCCACCAAATCTTGAAGTCCTTCTGCGTGATCTTGCCATCCCCATCAGGATCGACGGCGGCGATCGCGTCCTTCTCAACCTTGCCCCAGTTGATGTTGATGTACCCCTTGTGGGCCGCAACCTGTCGTTTCCTTGAGTCTCCATCGCTCAATATTGCGTCACATTCGGTACCTGAGCCATGACAAAGATGATGCCAATGCTGACGGCGGTGGCCTTGCCGATTTGCTTCACGGCCGCGCCCGAGCAAAAGCCGAGGAAGCCACCAAACGAAACCTCGCCGATTTTGGCGCCAAACTGATCAATGAGGCGGCTGACGGGGTCGTCGTCCTTGCTCACGCTGCCCTTGGCATCGCCCTCCTAGCGTCTCGTGCATGAGCATTTTGATGCATCGCATTTCGCGTAGTACCTTGCCGTCGGCAGCTTGGCAGAGCACAGCTGAATCCATAGTATCATCATCATGAGCGACAGCAACCAAGAGCCGCCGTACCGTTGTGGGAGAGCGACATGGCCATGCCAAGCATCGCCATGCCCGAGAGGCGCACGACCGCCTTGCGGCCATCAAACTTAAGCGCGACTAGAAGGTAGACGATCGCATCTTGCCCCATGTTGATCGCATTGTACCGTTGGAGCGGGCCGAGCGCGTGGCGAGGGTGCGGACAAAGGACGAGCGCTTGGCAACTACAAGGTCATGAGGCCATGGGCATCGCCGCAGCATCGGCGTACGGGCGCGGGTCTGGGACCGGACGACCGAGGCAAACATGGTGGGTAGGTCAATTGGACGAATGACGCTGTTGTGTTGACAGCGTCTGTGCCCCGGGGTCCGGCCACGAACGGTTTTTGGCCAATCAATGCGATGGGATCTTGTGGCGAACGTTCCGACCTGGGCCTTTTTTGTCGCAGCTGCTTGTCTTTTCTCGCGCGCTCGGGCGAGTTGCTCGACGAGGCGACGCCAGCGTGGACGACCTCGTGTACATACGGGTCTTCGCATCTGCTAGTATGTAGAGGCACCAGGACATGCAGCATGCTCGATTCCGAGCGACCCATGTCGATGCAACATCTTCGCGACAGCTGCATGTAGGATGGTCGCCAGCCATCATCTTCGTGCTGGGTCAACCAACTCGAGTCGACCTCGTCCTCGTTGGTTTGTAAGAGTGAAAGCTAGTACAACGTGCCAGCTTATAAGTATTGACAAGGATCTCGATGACTTTGCAGCGTACATGTATCACTAGTGTACTTGGTGCCGAGCTCCTGGCGATGTGTGGCGGAGCTGTGGCGGTGGCATTCTTGAAGTTGAGCGACGTGTAGGTGCACATAGCGTGTCTCGGGTTGTGTCCGTTTTATATCGCCCGACCGACGCTTGTCAAAGCAGCTTGGCCAGGGCGAGAGACGTCGTGGACCTTGAAAGAAAGGCTGCACCGATCATGCCTTTATAGTCGACTTGTGATGGAAAGTAAGATCTCATCGTTGAATTACCGACATACCGAGCAGTACTAATAGGGTCGACTATTAGCTAGCCGTCCCTTTTCGTTGTGTCGAAAGCCCATCTGCGTCACGTCGACTGCAGCCTCGCCTTCATTGCGATTTTCTGGAGACCTCAACTGCTACGCACGGGTCAGCTAGCTTCGAGTGCTTCGTTGAGCTAACGCTCATGTCTTGTGTACCGCTGTGAATGTCTTGTTTGCCGTTGTGCATGATGATGAGGTTGCCGTTGTGCATGATGATGAGGATGACAACCATGGCTCGTACAACAGTCAGGATACCGGCGGTTGAGGGGTCGCCTCAAGATCCCTCGACATGGTGCTTCGCTGTGTCGCGTGGGACTATGCTTCGCTGTGTTGCGTGGGACTTGTATTGACTGATTCCTAACCTCCTAGCCTCCTAACGGGGTTTGACGCCGATGGAGGCGCGCTACAACCGCCGACCGCATCAATGTGGGTCGCGTTGATGTGGTTGCCAGTGAGAGTTTCGTATTTTGACCAATCCGAGGTGCGTTGCACATTTTTGACCAATCAGGTATCGACATTGATCGATTTTCGATTTCCGTTTGCCGTACAGCCCAGTCGGCGAGGTCAGCAGCAGCAGCAGCGACGCGGGATGCATGACGCCGCTGCCACGTACGGCTTCATCCTCGCGAGCGCCCAGCGCGCATGCGCATCATCTCTGTCAAGCGTCTACCTCTGGAAGCTCCGGGAGATCCGCATCCGCCTGCGCGAGGCGAGCTACAAGGACGACGTGTCCTTTGTCCAGGACCTCGTCACGTTGCTTCGCACCGTCAGCGATGCAGCAGTGTATTCGGCGGCAGCGAACGAGATCCAAGCGGCCATGAAGCGGATGGGCCTGCCGCCTCCGACACTACCTCCGTGGCCCACGCCCGCACCGCCCGTCCTAGTGCCAACCCCGTTGGACCATGCGGCGGTCTTGCGTCAGTCCGAGGAGCAGCTCAAGCGATGTGTTCGCACACCGCCGAGCGCCCAACGCCCATCGACATCAAAGTCAACGAGCCAGAAACCAGCGACGCCCAAGGCGACGACATCGTCCAAGCCCAAAGCACGACCGAAAGCAGCAACAGTCGCACACGTCAAGATTGAATCCACCGCGCCTGCACCCACAAGGCCACGAAGTGCTCGGTCGTCGTCGGCTAGCAGCGAGCCGAGTCGCCTGTCTCGGGCGGCTGCACTCGCAGAGACCACCCGGAGCACCGAGACACGGTCGAGGGCGGCGAGAACAAAGGTGACACCTCGAAAAGCAGGCGCCGCAGCGCCTTCTCAAAGCAAGCCGCGATCTCGCACTGGGAAGCCCGAATCCGTCAAATCCGACATCGACGATGACGCGCCGCGGCGCAAGGCGGGTCGCCCGCCGCTGATCCCGCTCGAGCCCCACATCGTGGATGCTCCGACGCTGGCGAGGCTTGAGATCCTTCGCTCGCTGCCAGAGCAAGGCTTGTGTCCGCACCTCGAGCGCCAAGCCATCAACCTCTACTCGAACAAGCGCGAGCGTCTCTTGGCCCCTGTCGCCATGGGGGCTCTCAAAGGTACAACACACGATCTCTAAGAAGACGACATGCGGACGCTACTAGATGGACGCATTGTCTGCCGCGGCGACGAGCCCAAGACCTTCAAGCAATTCTTCAAGCAGAACATTAAAAACGCAGTGCCAGGGCAAAGTCCTTGTGCACACATTTACATTGTCTCGATGAAGAAGAGCTTGGACCTGCACCTCTTGGTACGCACATCGATCCTGACCCTTCTTTTCATTTATTTTATTGTCAAGGAGTGCAGCCATTACGCGGCCATTGAAGCATCCGCCGAGCTTGGCGACGAGACGGTCGTTACTACGGAGACGACGACACCGACTCTGGTAGATGCTCGATGTGTCTTCTTGTGCAGCAACTCACACCGAGGGTAGACGCCGCGAACGTCCCGCAAGCGCAAGCGCGAAGCCAAAGAAAAGCCACCGACGACCAAAGAGTTCGTCTCCTAAGATCGTAGCGTTGAACCGAATAGAAAAGATCAACAATCAGCGCGGTTGAATGCAGCGATGACCTTATGACCTTGCTTGTTGTGCCTTTTGCACCCCGTTAAACCCATCGAGCCGAACGGCTTGTAGCCGAACGGTTGGTAAAACGGCCGTGAAACCGACGGTTGCGAATATACCGACCCTTCCCATACATTTGGGTCTGCAGTCGAGTAGTACAGGAGCATGGCGGACGAGGGCGACGACGTCGACGCGGGCAACAAGGACGAGGGCAACAAGGAGCCCCGGGCGCGCGATGTACGCGTCTTCCTCCTCGCGGTGTCCTCATGCATGCTAGGATACGGCGGTCGCGATCATGGGCAATGTCCTCGAGAAGCTTCGGATCCTCGGCTACGACAAGGAGCTCTCCAAGAAGAAGAACTTTGTCCCGCTCACCGATACGCATTACGCCCTGGCGGCGACGAGCACGAGGTACGCATGACACTACATTATGATCCTGAGCCTCCTGCGGGTATATGTAGTGGCGGGCAGTTCAAAGGGTTCCTCGAGCTGGTCGTGTTCCTGATGAAGATCTGCGACCAAGACTTTGTCGTTGACAAGTACGACGACCCGAACACGAGCGTCAACAAGCTCATTCTTGCGCTGAAAATGATGGGCTTCCCGCTCGACTTTCCCGCGGCCAAGCTCAAGCAAGGCTACGGCGAGGCTGTGTGCTCGGCGCTCGAGTTCATCTGCGACAAGGCGCTCGCGGCCAAAGGTTTTAGCTGGACGAAACCCAAGTACCCCAAGGAAGAGTACGCTGAAGAAGCCGAAGTCGACGAGAACCTCGAGGTCGAAGCCGACGACGACGTGGTGGTGGAGGAAGAGGAAGAGCTGTACACGGATTTGATCCGTGCCAAGACCGAAGACTCGGAGCTCGAAGCGTCGACCAACCAAATCATCTTGGCGGCGGTATGTCGTTTTTCAACGGTTGCGACTCGGGCCCTTGACACAACGGCCAGGTGGACCCGCTGCTGTGGAAAACAGAGCTCGAGCGCGTCGGCCCCAAGCTCAAATCCAAGATCAAGGAGGACGACGGAAAGGAGTGGCACACGCACATTGAGCAAACCAAGAAACACGATGCGGTCCGTTTTTCTTCTCTATGGACGACGTGGATACGAATCGTCGTAGACGATCCAAGAGAACCTCGCGTCGACGGCCGCGCAGCTCAAGGAGATCACAAAGCAGCTGACCGAAGTCATTGGCCGCATGGACGCCAAGGAAAAGTACATCAACAACCAGTTTGACCACTTGGTATATATGGCCGTCGTCGAGAGTTCGATACGGATGTATGACGGCAATGCGTAGCGACAAGAGTACCATCAAGTGAAAGAGAGGCTCCTCGCGGTGAGCGAGCGCTGCAAGGAAGGCACCGAGAAGGTCAACGGCATGACCAACCAACACACGGAGATCACCGAGCAGCTGCGAGAGACCAAGGTGACAGCGATGCGTCACGCACGTCTTCTCAACGAGCTGCGTAGACGGACATGGACAGCAAGGGTAGCAAGATGACGGATACAACACCGCTCGTACAAATCAAGTCGGCGCTGCAGACCCTCAAGGGCGAGATCAAGAACTTTGAGCTGCGCATCGGCGTTGTCGGGTACATCCTTCTCGTGTGATCGACGTTGCAACACTCAGTCACTTAGCCACACGCTCCTGCAGTCGAAATCCAAGCACAAAATGCACGGCAAACGCCCGGGGGACTCGAAAGCCGCGGACCCCGAGTACGACCACAGCGACGACGACTTGGATTGATCATCCAAGTCGTCGTGAGTCTTCCCGAGTCGACTAGAGTCAACAACGCGCAGAGGTATCGGTCGGCAAACTATAGTATGCGAAATGTGAATGTACCAATGCCGTCGTTGCGCCGTCGCTTCCCAGTGCTGACAGGAAGCGCGTGGTATCGGCGTCGTCTTGCCAATGGCCGCTAGACGTCTCGGTCTACTGCAACACACACACATCCCCCGATATGCTTGCTATGCTGGAGCACGGGTAATCACTCTTGCGTGATCGTTCCTAGACTGGTCTACCTTGGCACGTGGCTTTGTGGAGTGCTCGTGCGACCTAGGGCAATGGGATCAGAGTTTCGAGGCACAGGCCTCTCTCCTCGCACGACAGACGCATCACCATCGAAATTGAGTCTAGTTGTCCCATCTAGTTCTCCATTTGTTCATCAACAATGCGTGCGACATGACGGATGTGAACAGAATTGGATTATAAAAAGAGCTTAGTACGACGACGGCGCGCCAGCTAGACATGGTAATGTAAGACGCCATCCGACGCCATGATAAAAGGAACGTACCGCTGGGCGATCCCTTGATCATCTTGACGCCCGAGCTCGTGCCAAGGCGCGTCGCACCGGCTTCCATCATGATCTCCGCGTCTTCGAGCGACCGAATGCCGCCACTGGCCTTGACCTGGACGCCGTGGGGATGCGCAAGCGAGGCCATGAGGCGAACGTCCACCACGGACGCGCCACGCGTCGAGAAGCCCGTCGACGTCTTGATAAAGTCGGCGCCGGCCGCGATCGCGAGCTTGCTCGCCGTCTCAATCTCGGCTTCGGTCAAGAGCGCCGTCTCCAAGATGACCTTGGAGAGGACGTTGTTGCGCTTGCAGACCGAGACGACCGCGCTACACCGGAAACATGAGTACCAGTCGCACGATACAAAGAGAGGAGGATCGTACCAAATATCACGCAAGACGTAGGCATGGTCACCGGCCTTGAGCTTGCCGACGGCAATGACCATGTCGATTTCTTCAGCGCCGTGGCGAATGCAGTCGTCCGTCTCGAACGCCTTGGTCTCGGACGTACTCGCACCAAGGGGAAAGCCCACGACGCAGCACACCTTAACGCGGGGCTGCTGGCGCTTGCGGTGGCGCTCGAGGCCATCGAGCGTCTGCAGAACGTGGCATGAGCCATCGATATGGAGCTTCTTTCATGCGTACCTCACGCGCGTACGACGCATACATGCTGTTGACGCACACGGGAGCAAAAGTTGTGCTCGTACGCCTCCTTGCAAAGCGTCGCAATCTCGTCCGGCGTCGCATCCGCCTACGTGATCATGAGCCTCGCGCCATGACGACAAGCGGATGATGCTACCTTGAGAAGCGTATGGTCAATGGCCCGGCGCACGGCCGCGAGCGGGTCATGCTTGGCCTCGTCCGCCGCGTCGACCTCGTCGTCGCCGGGCGCGGGCAGCTCGCCCGTGTACTTGGGGCACGAGCGCAGGTGCGAGAGGAGGCGGTTGACCGACTTGGACACGGACGACTTGCAGTGCTTGCACTCCATGCGGCTCATCTTGAGGTTGAGCGACGGGTCGGACTCGACCTCGTCAAACTCGTCCCAGGCTGCGAGCTTCTTCTTGGGCATGGCGTCGTCGATTTCAAAATGAGCAGCCTACAGAAAATGCGCCCAATTTTAGCCAATCTCGTGTTTATGCCACTGACCATGTTTAAACGTAATAAAACCGATATGGGTGGCGGGGTGAAAGTGTGAAAATGAAGCGGATGCACAGTCAGGGCGCGGTGCTTGAAGATGTGGGCTGCAAAGCCACATCACTGTGCTGCGAAGGTGCTTTCCACGGAGGCAACCTGACGTGTCGTGTCGCGGACAAAAAGACATGGCGATCTTGGCCAGCAATTTATGTGTAGATCGTCCCACAGTGGGTTTAAACGCATCTTGAAGTGGTGAAGCATGGGTTAAACCACGCTTAACCGTGCGATCGCCATGCTGTCAGCGCGAAAAACGGTCTTTGAGAAAGAAGAGGCGCTGTGCTCGTGGTCAAGAGCTGCGAGTCGGCGAAATAAGCGCGATGACCGCGTGGCAAGCGACGACGCGCCGGCGCGCGATCCACGCGTGTGCTTGGACTTCAAGTTGGCGTGGGTAACTTAACCGGACGATCCGCAACCGGACGACCAAAGCGGATGAAGTTGAGCTTGCGTTTGCACGTCGCACGCCGATGGCCTTTGTTCCGTCAGGCGCAGTAAAATAACAGCACCGCGTGGGCGCAAGCACTGGGATTCTTGCTGCGATCTGCGCGCGCTTGGATGGAAAATGTGAAAAACCACTTTAACGTGATTCCCTGGCCACGTTTTAGTACTGTATCCGGATGATGGTAAAGCGCCGCTTGGCCGGCCGATTCGGTGGACGTTAGCATGAACGCGCGAGAGGCTCAGGACGCCATCGCCCGCGCGCGCATGGCCGCAGCGTCGCCATCCGAGGGCCTTGAGAAGGCCATGGAGCTCTTCCATCAGCCTCGATCGCACGGCTTTTTTCTAGCCCTCCTTGAAGGTACGCTAGAAATACATCGGCTAGAGCCATACGTGTAGCCTGCCTGTACTAGAGCTCAAGCAACTCGCAGTGTCGTCCGATGTCCCTACCATGGACGCGTTCCTGCACCTTGCGGCGATCGTTCCGCATCAGGATACCAGAGTACGTGCGTTTGCTTTGGGCGAAGTCTTGGGCTGCTTGGCGCTGGCCCTTCGCGACTGCAGAACGACCGCCACGGTGGTCTGCACACTCGTGGGCGCGATTTTGACGAGTCCGCTCACGGCCACTGGCTTTGCATTGACGTTTTCCAAGGAATGGCATCAGAGCCCAAACCACGCGTGGGTGTACACCTGGTCCGAACCTGCTACCGCCCCCTCGTGCAGCCCATCATCACGAGCGCGCGTACGTCGTCATGATGACCGCCTTCGTTCCCTCATGCATGCGCGATAGCACTGAAGAGCGCACAAGAGTTCACGGAGGCGTGGACCTTCTTGGCAAGGATGCTAGCGTCATCCAACGACAAGTCTATGGCCATCGACGTTGCTCGCACCGCCCTCGACGCGTTCTGCGATCCTCGCTCGAACGCTGAGGCCCGCGGCAGCATGGCCGGCAGCATGTACGAGCTGCTGCAACGGCTCGACGCCGCCGATGCCCAGCGCGTTGCGGCCATCATCGCCGAAGAGACGCTCCTGCACGGTACGACGACGAAAATCTCTTCTGCAGGATGAGTTGACTGAGGCGACGTAGCATCACCAACAGCACGGATAGAGCTGCTCTGGCTGCTCAAGCGCCTCGTGCAGGACGCTGCCGCGACCCCCGAGCACTTTGTGATGGTCTGTCACGTTTTCGCAACCGCCACGGGGCCTGACGAGCAACCCATTTGGCTCGCGCTGCTCCATGAATGGATCGAGGTCGCCGCCAAGGACACCTCTCGCGACGTCGTGCTCTCCGCGGCCTACCTCATCCCTCCAGTGCTCCAGCTGCACGCCGTCGCATCGACGGCGTCCATTGCCACGGCGTCGCTGCTGCACGTCGCCACCAAGTATGCATACGATCATCAGCGCGGAACGGCCGACGCCATCACGATCGTTCCCAACGAAGCAGGTGTCCTGACGCTGCGCTGTCACGTGTTTGCGTGCCGCGACGTGCTGGAGACTTTGCCAGCACCCAGCGGCGCGTGCGACCTGAGTGCGGTGCTTACGGCAGCCAGCGCGCTCGTTGCCTTTGGCTGGGCGCTTTCCAACGACCTCGTGGCCTACCTCGACGCCTGCGCAAAGCTGTGGCCCGAGGCGCGTAAGATCGTGACCCCGTGCTTTCTGTACGTCGCATCGACGAGGCAACACCCAGCGGTCCTCGCGACACTTCTCAACATCCCCGGCACCAACCAGTGCACGTACTGCAGCGAGACGCACCCTCACGTCCTGGGCGACTGCTCGGTCCTCAAGACCGACATCAGCGAGAAAAAGCCACTCCGAAAAGGCGTGGTCGTGCCGCCCACGTTCAACTGCTCATACTGTCGCTATCACGAGCTCCTCGAGGCGACGGGCCACGGCGCTCCAGCAAGCACGCGGAGACTCTTGTCGCCCAAGTTTCACCGAGAGCACAGCTGCGAGACGCTGCTGAACGATATTGCCAACTCCTGCGTCCGCGTCGGCTACGTCTACCCAACGAAACTGGCCCACCAAAGGGCTGGGTCAACTACTTGGCGGGAAGGCTCGTCGACGAGACGTCTATGCGAAAACAACGCCCCGGAAAAGACCAACGCGCGAGGGCTAAACTCTTGTCAAGCCTCACCGACACCAACCTCGACGCGCCGTCCGACCCAAGTGCCAAGCGCCGACACACCGAGAAGACCGACAATAGCTCCTCGCACGCCGACCCAACGGAGATCAACATGGCGGGCAACACGTCCAATCAAAAACGCCGCCGTCGGAATCGGATTCGCCCAAAAGCGCACTCGGCGAACAATATCGATATCAACCTCGGCGCGTCGTCCGAGCCAAGCGCCAAGCCGCACACATGACCACGGCAGACGATAGTTCGTAGCCAGTACAGTAGAGGAAGTGGATTCCATCGTTATTCATATTACATTCAAACGTCTCTGTCCAGATTGTTGTTTGCTGTTGCAACCTCGATCGGTCGTACTAGTGGCGACTAAGATCTCTTAGGAGAATGTACACCTACACTCTTGGATCGTCCGGATAAAGATACCCCGCGACTTGTTCGAAGGATCCAAACGACACACTTTGTGGCTCCGTCGGAGGAGGATGACGACCGAGCCGACTCTGGCCAGCGCGTCGGCGCCCTTGCCCGAGGTACGACGATACCGCTTCCTCTCGCCGTCCTATCCACTGCCTGAAGCAGAACAACCTCGACGAGCTCACGGCCCTCGCGTCGCTGCTCGAGATGGAGAGCATCGGCAGCGTGTACGTCGAGCCAGAAGACGATGCGATGGCCTTTGACACGTACATCAGCCTCGAGACTCTTGTGCGCCAAATGTCTTCCAAGCGCTCGGTCTAAGATGGCACGTGCTAGGCACTGCAGAGCCCGCACGGCGGCGGCGGGGCCACGCACCTCCACACGTGGCAAGACGACAACGAAGATATTGAGGACGACGACGACGATCCAGCAGCCGAGAGCAACAATAGCGACAGGAAGCGACCCGATGCCGTCTCTAGCAGCGTCGCCATCGTCGATGGGCCTTTCCCGCCCAGTGCGCCCCAGGACCGCCGCCGGCCGTCGCTTCGCAAAGGTAGATACGAATCGAGGACGAGCAGCGATCCAACCATCTGTAGAGCTCTTTCAGCAGCGCATCAAAAGCCACGACATTGCATCGCCAGGACCGAAAGGCGACGACCACTATGCACAGTCGATGACGCCCGAGTGTGACCTGGCGTCACCGCTCTTGCTGCCCTCGTCGCCCGTCGCCGAGGCCCAAACACTGAACGCCATGGAAGACAACAATGCGATCGACGCGCTGGAAGAAGCCTTGCATAAGACGCAAGTCCGCGTGCCCCGGGCGCGCAAGGTCAAGCACGGCGGCATCTACACGCTGCTGCTTCAAGGCATGAAGCGCCACGACGACGTCGAGAATGAAGTGCCGCGAAGGGCATCGGCGCCCGAGCCGTCGCTCGCTGCCTTGCACACACCGCGTACGTCGACGACGAGCACACGGTCGCGGCACGTCACCCTCGGAGTAGATGAGCACGTGCCAAGTTCCGACGTCGCCAAGGTACGGCATCCTCCAACGCCATTTTGTCGGCCTTTGCTCATATCATCTTTTTCATGTAGCGACGCTCGCCTGTACAGCCCGCGCACGTTCGGCACGGCAGCATTTACCGCATGCTGCGAGACAAAACATAGCTTTTGTTATCTAAGTGTTATAGTCGAATCGCATCGTTGGATCGTTGTCACTCTGCAGCATCACATGTGCGCGGCCAGTGCGCTTTGAAAGCCGTTGGAAAGGTACGCAGGATGGAGATGCGTGCCATCGAAGGCATACGCGGGCTGGAGCTAGTATCCATGACAGCAGGGTACACAACCATATCCGCATGCGTTGGATAGATAGGATACCTTGCCGTTGTCGCCGAGGAGGTCCTCAAAGCAGTCGAGCCACTTGCAGAACGACGCGGCCTCGACGCGGGTGCGCAAGAGGGCATTGTACCGACGCACCAAGTGCCGCGTCTCGTCCAAGACGGGCACGATCGGGTGGATGTACGCCTATGGAGATGCATCAAACAACCGACAATATGACCACACACAAAAGAGACGGTACGTCAAAGCCATGCGTGCATACGAGCGCTTCGAGCACGCGAAGAAAGTGACTCATTGTCGCGACCATGCCCTCGTCGACGCTCTACGCGTCATCGACACGGGCGCATCGCAAAACGGCTTGGTACCTCGTAGCGGCACTTTTCCACCGCGAGAAGAATGCCTTCGCGGCAATCGATCTCGCCCAATAGAAACACGATCCGGGCGTGACGCGGCAGCGTCGAAATGACCTCTTCAAAGTGCCTTTTCGGGTAAAACGTCGACGCGCGGCGCAAGTGCCCTACGCCCACCGCGTCACGATGACATACCACATCTATAGCAAGTGGTACAGTGCTTGAGGCCCGTCACGAGCGCCGGCGTGAGCCGCACTAGGCGATGCGGTCCAAGCGACAGTGTCCGCCATGCGGTCGGTAGCGTGTGCGAGTCGCCGCAGACATAGACCGTCTCGTATGCATCTTCTGTCTTTCGATGGCCGTGGACGACGGAAAGGCCAACGGCGGGCTCTGGATGCAGAGCAGCTGCGCGATGCAGCAGTAGTACGCGTGCTCGTTCCGAATCGTCGTTTGGTGCAAGTGGTGGCCAAACGCGACGCGAAGTGGCTCCAGCAGACGCACGAGCGCGTGCAATGGCGCGCCGCAGCCTTCGAGAAACAGAATCTAGATCCTGTTTGGAGTCGTGGATGAGACGCGTGCGTTGTACCTTGACCACGGCGAAGAAAAGGGCGAGGAGGTCCCAGTCGTCTTCGGGCAGCAGCTGCTGGGCCACGCCGTCGCGCTGCATATTGACAAACCCGTCCGAGGTCCAGCAGAGCTCTGCGCCATCGCTGCCTCGGCCCGAGTCGAGGGTTGGGAACGCTTCCAAGGCGGCGGCCACGTCACGGCAGGCCAGACCGCCCGTCGTGACCGTCGGGTTGCGCAGACAAAACGCCCGGGCCACGTCGTACGCCGCCGCGTGGTCCACGACGACCTCCAACGCGTGGAGGTAGTTGAGTGCATACGACGCATGCGCGGGTGCGAGGGTGACGGCTTGGGCAAAGCATGCCAAGCACCCTACGTCCGCATCGCCGTCGGTCCATTGAACGAGAGAAAATGCTATGACGAGACCGTTCATGGCGCTGTGGTCTTTTGCGATCGTTGCCAAGTACGCAAAGGCGGGCGCGGTCGTCGCACTCGACGGATCGAGCGTCGCGGCAAGGTGCTGGAACCCGTGCGGCGCTTCCAAAAACTCTGCAAACTGCGCTTGCACCGCTAAAAGCACGCTACATATGCAGCAGAAACGACGCCGTGTGCGTACCGCGGTCAGTCGCGCGGCCCGTGAGCACCTTGAGGATCATCTGCATCGCTTCGACGGGCCGGCCGCGCTTGTGTGCGATCGCGCTGTAGAGTGCGATGGCCTCCAAGTCGGTCTCGTTGGACGCGATGAGCCGGCGCCGCAGCGTGTCGATCGCGGCGTCGATGGCGCCGCTGGCGTACTGGAGCCGCGCTTCGAGTCGCTCGATGCGCGCGCCAACGTCGGCGTCCGAGACACGCAGCGCTGCAAGGCGCTGCAGTGCCGGCGCCAACGCCTGCAGGTGCAGCTCGCACTCGGCCACATCGAGGCACAGCGAAATGTACGACGAGGATGTGGTTGCCGCGGTGGTCGCGAGCACAGGCGCGGCGACCGCTTTGGCCGAAGCCCACGCCGACGATTGCATGTAGATTCGCACGAGGCCATGCGCTGCCTCGCATTGGTGCGGGTCGAGCTCGCGCAAGATGGTCTCCCACACTAGAATTCACGCATCGGATGATGATGTCATGGAGGAAGGGCAACGAACAGGCCTTGGCCGACCGCCACTCGCCGCGGTCGCGGTGCTTGGTGGCGAGCGCGAGCAAAGGCCCGACGGCCGCCAACGACGCGGCTGTTTGCTGCGGCGCCGGGCGTGTGACGTCGAGCTCACAGGTATCCTAGATTGCCACGTCATGCGGCGATGGTGACAGCGCTCTACAATATTACGTCGACAAGGAGCTGCGAGAGCTTCTTCTCGAGACGCACGACAGCGTCGGCGCGCGTGACGACGAGCCCTTTCGTGTCGATGGCGGACTTGAATTTGGCGTTGTGGGCGGCCACGAGCGCCAGCAGTGCGTCGAGGACGTTGGCGGTTCGATCGAGCTGCGGCCCGCGCAGCACGTACGTCCACGCGCGCAGGTCCGTATCGCCGGGCGCGGGCTTGCAGTGGAGGTAGATCTTGGCCATGGACGTGTTTTGCGAATCTTGAAGCGGCGCGTTCCGTGAGCTTCCTCAACCTGCATTGTGGATGCTGCGCATAATATGCGTGTAGAGGCGTTGGCATATATCATATCGAGTTCCTCTATTCAGATGCAAAGCAACCTACGCTACTACGTCGGTGTCGGGCGGCGGCGACTGCTTCGGGCTCGGTTATCAAATACATCATCATTTAGTTGTTCTGCTTCTTCAAGTGGGCGTAGTACGCGTCGAACTTGTTGAGCTCCGAGTTGGCGTAGCGCTTCCAGACAAGGCCGCCGGCGACGCCGAGGACGCTGGCAATGACAATCTCAATCTTGGCGCTGGGCATCTTGGCTGCTCGACTCGAATATCCGAAATGAGGAATATGTAGTCACCCGCCACTCACTTTCACCCGATCAAGTGCGACGCACTTACAGAGATAAGTGCGCTTGGAAGATCCAATCGGGCCAATAAGATAAGACGATCTATTCACGACGGCTACGACGACGCACGCTACAGCAGAGCGGGCACGGCATAAGGCATCCGCGGCAGACGTGACCGCGTGGGCAAAGTCTGTCTTTACTGGTCGGCCTTCTTGAGCGACGCATAGTACGCGTCGATCTTCTGGAGGTCGGCGGTCGCCCACTTCTTCCACGTCATCGCGCCGGCCATGGCGAGGGTCGCGGCAACAGCGATTTCAAACTTGGCGCTCGGCATTGTAAATGTATATGTAGTGCGTCGGCGACGTGTGTGTGTCCACAGTAGAGTTGGAAAGTACCGAGCCACGCAGCAGGAGGCCACGACGCCTGACGCTCGGCAACGTTTCGTGCAGGGACGAGTCGCACTTGATCGGGTCATTTCAGGGTCCTAGAGATTTGTTAAGTTCGCTTTGTTACATCTCTCTATCGCTCATTGAGTATTCGGTGACGATCGCACTTTAAAGAGACCAAGGCGTTGATATACAGAAACCAAGTGACTTCGTTGAAGTTCGCTTCAAGGGGGCGGGTATAAAAAAACGCACACCGCCAACACAAAAATACGTCGGACCAATCACAGCGCGCTGCAAAAACGGGCCGGCCGACACCGTCTCTTTGGCCCATGGCAGCGTCGTCGGCGCTCTTCCTTCGGGACTAAGATCCGTCCGTCTTATCCTGCGGCGTAGTCTCTGTTAGCGATGCATCCTGCGACTCATGACTCGTGCTTCATGGACGCTGGAGAGACCAGCACCTCTCCGGTGGCACACTCGACACGGTGCAGGCCGAGCTTGCAGGCCAGGGTGGTGCGATTGTTTCATCCAGAACACCGCGGGTGGGTGGGTGCTGTAGTAGTACTAGTAGTACTTGGAACAACGTCGTTAAAGTCTGCGTTCAAGAAACACATCGTGGCGTGTCTATGGGAAGAAGCGCCGACGTCGCTTGCTGCACCAAGCCGGCTGGGAGTCGTTGGCGGTGTCGCGATCTATGACAATGGTCCATCATCGCACAGGACGATTCGTTGCGGCGTGTCGATGCCATCGCAATGTTGCACTGCGGACAACAACGTGCAATCTCCAACTTGCCGCAAGTGCAATCTTGACGCCAAGTGCATTCTCAAAGAGCCCACCAGCACCGTGGCGCTTCCGAGCATCCCCTTACATGCTCTGATCGCAACAAGACGACGTACGAACCGAACATTAGCATAGCGTCAGTTGCAAAACCGTTGAAACTCGTAGAAAGGACGTAGATGGCATCGATGCTGCCGCGCGTGCCTCTCGACAAGGTGTCGCGGGATGGCAGCACCAAGATCTTTGTCGCGACGAAGGACCACGCGCCGAACCTGCCGCGCCTCGAGGGCCAGAAGGTACCCGTGAACGACCGCGCCATGCACAAGCTCGGCGTCAGCGACGAGATCGTCAAGATGGAGAAGCTCATGAAGAAACTCGGGATTTGCGACCACGACCTCGAAGAGTTCAAGCAGCGTACGCCCTGCGTCTCCCCATTCTCTCTTGTGGTGAAACGAGGTCTTCTTCCTCGTAGTGCAACGTCACTCGGGCAACCTTGTCGAGACAGGCACGTTGACGAAGGAGGAGATCCTCATGGGCTTCTCGGTCAAACAAATGCACCGCGTGAAAGCACTCAAGCGCCTCGGCGTGTCCGAGCAAGATGTTTGGGACGCGTATGCCCACAAGATTTCGCAGCTCGGCGCCCAACTGCACATCAAGCCCGCCTCGCGCAAGGCGATTTCTCGAACGTAATAGACCTTGTATTAGTCGTCGTCTTGCATGCAGCGGAAACATATACGAGGCATTGCGACTACGTCGCCGCCTGCGCCGCCATCCACGCGTCGATGCGCGCTTTAAGCTCGGTTGCCGGCGTGAGCTGGTCGATGGTCAACGGCTGCCGCGTGAACGGGTCCGTCGCGTCGTTCATGAGGTGCTGGAGGATCGTGGCGCGGTCGACCACATACCCGCTCGGCAGCGTCACGGGGTCCCGCATGCGCTGGCAGAGGAGCGGGTCCATAAACTCTTCGGGGGCATCGCTGTACGCAGCGTCGTCCAGCGCGTTGCTCGCATGGAGCGCTTCGACCGTGTCCGCGAGGTTCTCAAAGGTCGACACGCCGGGCGGCGGAATGAGCTGCGTGCGCTGGAGAATGTGCACGCACTTGCGGTACACGGCCGGGTCGTACAAGCCGTTGGAGGCGACGGCCATTTGGAAGCTCTCGTACTGCGCGAAATGCAGAATCGTCTCGACGACCTCGCGGAGCATGACCTTGGGGCGGAACTTGTACGTCTCGGGGTTTGCGACCTAATGTTGAAATTATAGAAAAAAGAGACGCGGCAGGAGGCACGCACCTTGAGTTCGAGGCCGCGGGGACCCGCGAGCTTGACGAGCACGCTGTTGAGCATGCTCACGAGGCGCTCTTCCAGCGCGACGCTGAGAAACGGCGCTTGGATCTCGGACGTGAGATACGACATCATGTGGATCGTCTCGTTCGCGAGCTGCAAGCTCGACGTGACCGTACGCTCCTTCTCGGCCAAAAGACTCTGCTTTTGCTCTTGCGTCGCTTGGTCATATGTGCCCCAGAGCGGCGACTGGGCTTCCTCCTACCCACAAATTCCCTTGCACGAGCGCTGGCGTTGATCTTTGGCTACCTGCAGCGCCTTGATTTCCGGTAAATTGGTCAGCGCATCGGTGAGGAGCGAGTTGATGTGGTTCATGAGACCGTGCGCAAACTTGACAAACGCCGGCTCGTTCTTCGAGATCGAGACAAACGCAGGCTTGTGGGCCGGGCACTTCCAGAGGTACTTGAGCAAACAAGCAATGTTGTATCGGTGCTCGAGCTTTTCGTAAAAGCCCGTTTGCTCGACGTCGCCGTAGAGCGCAAGGAGGCACGGTGCAAGGTGCTCCTGCGCGAGCGGGCTCTGCGTGAGCGCGTTGACCGCCGAGGGCACGCCGACCGTCGGTCGGTCCTCCGACTCGTGCGACGGAAGGCAAATCTCAAAGAGGCACTCGCTCATCTTGGCGCGCAAGTGCGGACTCCGGACGAGCTGCGGCGACGAGAGGAAGACCAAAGTCATCTTCAAGAGGTCGTCGAACGCGAACGACGCGAGCTCCGTCGGCGCCATACGTGCCACGAAAAGGAGCGCGTTCACAATATCTTCGACAATGTGCTCGGGCACAAATGGCACGAGCAAATCTAATATCATGAAAGTGAGAGGCGAAGGAGGATCGAAGCGCGTACCTTGCTCGCGCGTCGTGATGGGCAGCACAAGCGGGCTCGCCGATGCTTTCCCCGCCGCGTCCAGGCAAATGCGGCAGACCACATCGGCCGACAAGAGAGCAAAGCGCACAATCTCGTGCAAAAGCTCGGGCTGGAGCAGCTTGGCGTCCAGTAGCATCTTGGTCGACGCGAGCGCATCAAACTGCGCTTGGACGCGAGGGTCGTTGTTGGTGCGCATGAGGTTTTGGATGTACGAGAGCTGGCGCAGGAGACGCATGTACTTGCCCATGCTCGCGACGGGCCCGAGGTGGACGCTCTCCACCGTGAGGTAAAAGCACTGCGTGATAAAGTTGAAGTCACTTAGCGTCTTGGCCGTCGACGCCGCACTCTCGGCGACAACGAGCTTGGTGCTGTCGGCCGGAAAGATAGGGTTGGGCACGGCCGCCAGGAAGGTCGGGTCAATGAGCGAGTGCTTCGTCGACGTCGGCGGCAAGAACGGACCGCAGAGCCGCAGCAGCACGACACTGAGGTTCATGAGGAGACCGGCCGTCGATGTGAGCGCCGCGTTCGGGTTTTCTTTCGCCATCTCTTGGTTGACTTCGAGCGCTTGCGCCAACCTAGGCAACCTAAGATCGTATCGCACGAAGCAGGTCGCGTACCACGCGAGGACGCGTTCCTTGCACACGGGGCCTGCCTTGAGAAGCGACTTGAAGATATCCGTGCACAGGTCGTGGTTGAACTTGAGTTCGTTCCGGAGTTGCCGCAGCGACTTGTCGACGTCATTGCGCGTCCTATGCGACATGCTAGATATCTATCAACGTATCAACTCGTGTCGTACCGTTTGGTGATGTTGGAAAACATGTCTTTGAGCGCCGGATCCGGCGAGTCGGTCGAGAGGCGCAGCAGAATGCCAAGCGCGGTTGCATCTTGGAGACGGCGGCCGTTGAGCGGCGGCGAGAGGAGAAACCCCGGCATCGTGACAAAGACCGTGGCAAAGCCCTTGATGCGCACGAGGGATCCGATCGCTTGCATGGGCGGCGCCCACACATCGACCGCGAGGAGCGACTGCGCCCCGAGAAAGATCTCGGAGACGAGCTTCTGGAAGATGGGGCCCGCGACGCGACCAAGGCCCGCGGACCCGCCCTGGGCCTCGAGACCCTGGGCGAGGAGCTCGAGGTACGAGGGCGTGCTCGGCGTTGGGTTGCGCACGAGCGCGTCAAACACTTCAAGCGGCGTCATGGCGTGCGACGGAAACATCTCGGGTTCCAAGAGGCACGTCACGCTGTAGTTGATCGTCATCTCCATGATCGACTTGACCTAAATGTGGCATGAGCCACAAGAGAGAGATTCATATCGGCTCGTACGACGGCAAGATCGGCCTCGGAGAGCTGCGAACTCTCAGCCCGGCAGCGCTGGTACACGTCAAAGAGGTACCGCAGCGTCGGTGTCGCGAGCGCTGCGTCCTCTTCCGACACTAAGCGCATGTACAAGACTTCGCTGACGTTGTCGCCGTTGAGGGCGTTCCCAGCAACGTCCATGTACAAGACATCACGCGACCCCGGCGGGTGCAACGTCACCTGCAGGATGCGAGACAACGTCTCGTGAAGCCCGTCGCGCCGACTCGCCTTCTTCTTCAGCACTGGAGCGGGTGCTTGGACAGGCGCAGCAGGCGGTACGACGACCGGCTTGGGCGGCGACGCTTTCACGACCGGCGGCGGGGGCCGGCGCTGACTGCTCCATGGCCGCGAGGCGCTCAAGGCGCTTCTGCCGGAGCTCTTCGGCCGTCGGGACATGCACGTCCTCGCTGCTCGCGCCCATGTCATGGTTCTCGTCTTCCTTCTGGTCGCCATTGACCCAGGAGCTAATCCAGCTCGCCATGCTTCCGTCGCTGTCTTCTGACCGAGGAAATCTTGCGTCCAACCGGTTACACTGACCGGTTCATCGAGTGCGAACCGACACGGCTAAAAAGACGCTTCTTATCCGGATACTTCAATCCGAGACATTCCATCGTCGACATGGCGCGGTGGTCCCATCGCTATCACCCTCGTGCCTTCTCCGTGCTCGTACTAGCACTAGTATTATATGCGCGAAGGGCTTTACGTGTGTGCCAAAGCTCTATACAAGCGTACAGTACTCGTCTCTCGTGGCGGGCAGTTGCGGCTTTTTTGTCCGGATAAAGGAGGAACTCACTAAAATGATGATGCGGGCGGCCAACTCTATCAGAACAACGAGCGCCGCATCGGTATCCAATGATGTCTCTACCGCGCGGCCGGCAGTCAGTTGAGCGGCGTCGCACACGAGGCAGAAAACCCACAAGAAGCCTCGAGGCTGCCCATCGTTGCAGCCGGCCATGTCCAATCCGACCGTTCCGATGGCATGGCACACAGAGGTCGATGCGGCGCGAAATTTGTCCTATCGATTGGGTCCGTGGTAATCGATTTCATAGTTGGTCCTTTTTCCAAGGACAAGCGTGTAGCGCCGGGAAGAGCCTGTCACGTCCAAATGATTTTTGCTGGATTTACTCATCCAGTGTCATGTGACAGCAGTATGATACCGGTACAAGCGGCTTTACTGCCACAGAAACGGCGCCGGCGCCGGCGTGTGTTCGATCGTGCGGCCACATCGAATGAAGCACCCCATAGACAAGTGTCGCCCGATCAACCCGCGCGACCAGGCTACATATCACCGTAAGCATGGACAATGATAGATTCAATTGGCCACAGCGACGACAGCCGTGCAACGGTGAGGGCAGTCGTCGTTTGAGGGAGTCTCTCTCAGACCAAAAGGCGCCCCCGAGGTAGTCCCTCCACTCATTTCAAAAGTACACTGTACAATACAGTGTACGGCGCTGCACGTCTACGGATGCATGCACTTCAGGTACACTACGGTACCTCGTAGGGGATGATAGAGCTCCGCGTTCGTTTGACGAATCCCGTGCCAATGAAGTACATGGGTCACCCACCCCAGCCGGTCCTTTCTACTCGCCTCGAAAATAATATATATCACCTGAGCCCATCGACTCGACCTTTGTATGGACGCTACGATTTCGACGCTGAAATTATAAAAACCGGCGCGCTTTGGTGGCACCCGCCCAGCTGCGAGCGCCATGCTGCACATTTCATTGCGACGTGGAGCCCAGAGGAAGATAGTACTGAGATGGGTGTCCCGACCTTGAGCAAGGCGTCCGTCTTCCGCTTCGCGCGGCAGCCGCGCCACCACGGCGTCAAGACGCGCCTGCTCCGGAGTCGCTCCAAGACGCTCATGCTGGGCGGCCAGAGCACGGCCGAGACGGCGCAGTACGCGTCGTGCAACCCGAATGGCGACGAGACATCATCGAATAGTCTCAAGCCGCTCAAGCTCAAAGACATGTCCACCGACGATCTCTTGCGGCACGCCGAGCAGCTCGATATGCACCTCGCCAAGATCTACATCGAGAGCCAGAAGACCAAGGCGCTCGCACCGATCGTGACCAAGTCGATTGGCCTTCCGCAGCAGCTCTGGGAAGACGCCGGCGTCGCGCCGCCGTACCACAGCGCGGCCGAGTTCCAGGACCTCCGGTACACGGCCGTGCGCACGGCCGACCCGATCGCGTTCTCGGCCGATGGCTACAGCCTCCGCGTGCACACGCTCGGAAAATCCATCAAGGTCTTCATCACGGTCACCATGTACAACGAGCCCGCGTCGCAGCTCCAAGCGACGCTCACGGGCCTCGCCGGTGGCATCGACTACCTCTGCCACCAGTACGGGTACGACTTTTGGCAAGAAGTCGCTGTCGTCGTCGTCGCCGACGGCCGGTCCAAGACGCACCACAGCGTCCTCCCGTACCTCGAGAGCTTTGGGGCGTTCGAGAAAAATCTCCTCGCGCAAGCGATCGCTGCCTCCAAGGACACGCACGTGCATCTCTTCGAGTCCACGATCCAGCTGCGCAAAACGATGGCTCGTTCCACGCGCCGATGCAGCTCATCTTTGCGCTCAAAGAGCACAACGCCGGAAAGCTCCACTCGCACCTTTGGTTCTTCAACGCGTTTTCGGAGCAAGTCGACCCGACGTACACCGCGCTTGTCGACGTCGGCACGGTCCCCGCCGAGTCGTCCGTGTACCGCCTCATCCGCAGCATGGAGCGCAATCCGCAGATCGGCGGGGTCGCCGGCGAGATCGCGGTCGATGATCCCGACTTCTTCAACCCCGTGATTGCAGCGCAGCATTTCGAATACAAGATCGCCAACATCATGGATGCGTCATTGCAGTCGGTCTTTGGCTTCATCGGCGTCCTCCCCGGTGCCTTCTCCGCGTACCGGTACGAGGCCATTCGCCCGATCAACGGTGTCGGCCCGCTCGCCGAGTACTTTAAGAGCCTCACCGCGTCCAAGAAGGAGCTCGGGTACGTCGTTTACGATTGTGGACGCGTGCCTTATATATGTGTGTTCTTATAGGCTCTGCGTCGGCAACATGTATCTGGCCGAAGATCGCATCCTGTGCTTCGAGATCCTCGCGCGTAAAAATTGCGACTGGACGATGCACTACGTCAAGGACGCGATCGCGCACACGGACGTGCCCGAGACGCTCGTGGACTTGATCAAGCAGCGCCGGCGCTGGCTCAACGGGTCCTTCTTCGCAGGCCTCTTTGCGATCTGGAACTTTGGCCGCGTCTGGACTCAAAGCGCGCACAGCTTGCCGCGCAAGTGTGCGTTCAGCCTCCAGTTCCTGTACCTTGCCTTCCAAAACGTCATGAATTGGTTCCTCCTCAGCAACCTTTTCTTGACGTTTTTCTACATTCTCTCGCTCGCGCTCTACTACAAGTCGATCGAATTGCTCCACGTCGTGCTTGGCACATACTTTGTGCTCGTCGGGAGTCTCATCGTCTTTGCCCTCGGTACAGCATATTCCCTTGCGTCTTTCTATGATGCAGATTCTTATATCTGTCTCTAGGCAACAAGCCCGGGCACCGCACGGCCATCTACTACCGCGTGAGCTCGTACATCATGGGCACGATCATGCTCTGCGTCACGTGCATCTCGCTCTACGCGCTCCTTGGAAACGTCCAGTTCGTCGACCCGCGCTCCGACTTGCCGTCGTGCAGCGTCAGCAACTACGAGCTCGAAGCCGGCGCGTTCTTCTCGCTCGGCATCATCTTTGTCTGCGCGTTCATGCACGGCGAGTTTGGCATCGTGCGCAGCACGGTCCAGTACTTTTTCATGTTGCCCACCTTTGTCGTACGCTGTCTTTTCTATGACGTGGCACGTTCTCATGCGATGTTTCTAGAATGTGCTGGGGATCTACGCGTACAGCAACCTCCACGACTTGAGCTGGGGCACGAAGGGCATCGAGACGAGCGCTGGGCACAACGGCCTGCCCACGAGCAAGTTTGGCAGCGTCAAGGACATGGTGGCCCTCCATTTGAACGCGACCAGCACGACGGACGTGGTCTCGGAAGCCGACAAGCGCAAGGGCGTCGTCGCCGCCGAGCACGAGGACGTCGACAATCGCTTCCGCGTCTTTCGGTCGCTGCTCTTGCTCACGTGGCTCCTCACGAACGGGTGCTGGCTCTACTACGCCACGAGCTTTATCTCGTGCTCGTGTTACCTCAAGTACCTCAGCTACATCGTCGCGGTCTTCAACACGTTCCGGTTCCTCGGCGGCCTCCTTTTCCTCTCGTTCCGCATGGCGCGCGGCGCTCTCCATTGTTGCCGCCAAGGCGTCAAGAAGACGCGCCCGCTCCGCTGCGGCAACCCGCAAGCGGGCGACGATTGCTCGCCTGTCTAATTTACTACTGCTATGCTAGTGTGTTTGTGTAACTTAAAAAACAAAGTCCTCTTCCTTTGTCATGGTAGTGATGTCTTCTTGCGCGGTATACGATGACTACATGAACTCGGACGAGAGGTCATTAAAGTAGGGGTGGCGCATCGCGTCCCGCGCCGAGATCCGCTCCGACGGCGTATACGTGAGCATGCGCTAATGCCATTGCATGTGAGCAGCGAAGTCGACGGTGGTGGCATAGTACCTGGAGGAGGTCAAGGCCGTCCGTATCGAGCTTGGGAAACATGGGCGCGAGGTCTTGGGCGCGCCACTTGGGGAACGTCGGCGCGTAGTCGCGCAAGGACGAGACGCCGGTCCATGTCGACTCGTCCGGTGTCCCCATCACTTGGAAGATACGGTAGAGCTGGTCAATCTCCGAGTCGCCTGTGAAGAGTGGCTTCTTGCGAAGAAGCTCTGCGAAAATGGCGCCGCACGACCAGATATCGATGGGCGGCGAGTACGCCTCTTGGCCGAGGAGGATCTCGGGCGCGCGGTACCAGAGCGTAATGACTTCGTGTGTGTACTTGCGCACAGGCAGCGAGAAGGCGCGTGCGAGGCCAAAGTCGGCGATCTTGAGCGCGCCTGTTCGGCTCACGAGCAAGTTTTGCGGCTTCAAGTCCCTACAGCATCGTCAGACAGGCGGCAACGGTGGGATACCAAGCTCGCACCGGTGCATAATGCCTCTCGAGTGGCAAAAGGCGAGGCCCTTGAGGAGCTGGTACATGTACGCCTAGGCCATCGTCGTCACGACAATGCATATGCATCGTTGCGCTGCACCTTGATCAAGTGCGGATCAATGTTGCCCAAGGTCGTGTCCATGCAGCGCTTGAGATCGCGGTCGACAAACTCAAAGACGAGGTAGAGCTTGCCAGCATCCTGAAGGCAGTTCAAGAGCCTACAACGTTCGTCGCATGAGCTTCCTGCATATGCGTCGATAGCGCCCGACTTGACGATGTTGGGTGCTCGAGCTCGCGCAGGATCGAGATCTCGCGCAGCGCTGTCGATGGGATCCCTTCGTCCTCGACCTCGAGCCGGATGCGCTTGAGGGCGACGATCTCCTGCGTCTTGAGGTCCTGCGCCTTGTACACGACGCCGTACGTCCCCTCGCCGATCGCCCCGTTCTTCTCGATCTTCCTGTACCGGTCCATTGCGTCCCCGTCGGCGAAATCCAAATATACCGCGAGGTAAAATTTCGACCACTGAGAATTTGTATTGCCATTGAAAACCCCACGAAGCCTCAGGATTGGCTATATATTATACTAAAAATTGTATTTTGGCCAATCCAAGCGACAGCATCACGTGGCCTCTGCCTCGTTCGCCTCGCTCATGACTGGCATGCGGTAGTACATTGTAGTCGGACGCTTCTACTAGAATGCACCTTGCTAGTCATCCCAGCGTCTCGTTTGAGGGACTTGGCCGAGCCCCTCTCTCTCGCATGTCCCGTCAGTCGACTAATATGTATGGCCCTCTTTTTTATTTTGCGCGCCAAAACGAATGTGCAGCTGAGACCGATCCACAGCAGAAAGCGTGCCACAGCAACTTGTGGTGTGGCGATATACCTCGCCGTTGAACGTGTAGGTTCTGATTAACTAAAGTGTGGAAGGCGCGGAGCGACAATATGATTGCCCGCCCGCAACCAAGAGGCTCTACGCTTGCCAGAAAGAACGCTTCGAGAACGAATAATGGGGGGAACGGCTGCTGCTGGTAGTAGTGTTGCTGTTAAGAGCAGCGTATAACGTCCTTATTAACTTATTGGTAAAGTCAGGGGTACACAATAGAATTATGTACCCCTCGGTAGAGCACTCGACGATGACCAAGTTCGCTGATGAAGTGTGGCTTGATTTGTCCCAAAAATCATACTCATATAGTTGGGACAAACCCACAATCTTTAGTCGAAACGGTTTAGTCGGTCGAGCACATCCGGATCGATGTATATCCGGATATCCCAATCTTGCGGCCGCACAGAATTGCGGCCGCACAGAAGATTCTGAGGTGGCGAAGATGGAAGACGTTGACATGAACACGGTGACGGGGGAGGCCCTGAAGAAGCACCAGCTGCAGGAAGCCTTTGACGCTGCGGAAGAAGAGATGGAAGAGGGTCGCTCGACGCCCGACCGCTCGATCGCCGCGTTCCAGCACGTCCTGGCTTACCGTAGGCACTGCGACGGCGACCATGGGCTCACCCGCTCGACATAGATGGGCCCGACGAGGACCTCGAAGTCGTGCACCGCGTCAAGGAGCACGCCATCTATAAGCTCGGCCAGCTCTACACACGCCATGGGTAGGCCCTTGACTCGTGCAAAGCGACTGACGCACCTTGTCGCAGGCGCGAGAAGGAGCTCTCGACGCTTTTGCAGAGCGTGCGGCCGTTCTTCGCCACGATCCCCAAGGCCAAGACGGGCAAAATCGGTATCATCGTCGTAGCTCTACCTGCGATGGCCCACGACCGTACCTTCTCCTAGTGCGCACGATCATCGACATGGTCTCCAAGGTCGAAACATTGGACCACCAAAAGTCGCTGCAGTTCCAAGCCGACCTCTGCGTCGACTCGATCGCGTGGTGCAACTTGGAGAAGCACACGTTTTTGCGTCAGCGCATTCAGGCCCGCTTGGCCTCCATGTACGACGCACTATTCCCATCGATGATGACCTTAATGATGTCGATTGGTGTAGCCTCTTTGAGCAAGCCAAGTACCAGACGGCGCTCGACCTGATCACGGACCTTCTTCGCGAAATCAAAAAGCTCGACGACAAGCAGCTCCTCGTCGAGATCCACTTGGTCGAGTCGAAGCTCTTCCACGCGCTTCGGAACGTGCCCAAGGCCAAAGCGGCGCTCACGGCCGCGCGCTCGATCGCCAACTCGATCTACATTGTGCCCAAGATGCAGGCCAACATCGACCACATGTCGGGTATCCTCCACGCCGAGGAGCGCGACTACAAGACCGCGTACTCGTATTTCTTTGAAGCGTTTGAAGCGCTCGCACCCATCGACAAGACGGAGGCGCTCGCGTGCCTCAAGTACATGCTCCTAAGCAAGATCGCCAACGGGCACTCGGCCGACGTGCCTGTCATCGTCAACGGCAAGAACGCGATCAAGTTTTCCGGCATCGACGTCGAGGCGCTCAAGGCCATCGCCAAGGCGCACGACAAGCGGTCGCTCGAGCTCTTCCAGGCCGCGACGGCGCAGTACGCTGCCCGTACGTCGTACTCTGCTTTGGGGCAACGCGACGTTATCAACATAATGTGTGTCTGTAGAGCTCGTGCAGGACCCGTTGATCAAGCACCATCTGGGCTTGCTCTACGAGAACCTCCTCGAGTCTAACTTGATCAAGATCATCCAGCCGTATTCGTGCGTCGAGATTAGCCACGTTGCGACCTTGATCAAGCTGCCGCTGCCCCAAGTCGAAACCAAGTAGGAAGAAACGCGTCGAGTCGCTTGTCGTCAACCACGCGTAGGCTGTCGCAGATGATTTTGGACCACAAGTTCCACGGCATCTTGGACCAAGGTCGGGGGCAGCTCATTGTGTACGAAAGCGCGACCGAAGACGTACGTAGCCTACCATCCGCATCTGCTGTGCTACTATGCTCCATAGAAAACGTATGCGGCGGGCCTCGGCGTCATTCAAAACGTCGGCAACGTTGTTGGCACGCTGTTCCGCCGGGCCGACAAGCTCTCGTTGTAGGTCAATAAGGACGACGACGACGGTGTGGACTGCGTTATCCTAACATCAATGATTTCGACGCCATCGTGCTGCATCCTCCTCTACAATGCCGGCAAGGACACGGACGACGACGCGAGCGGCGGCTCGGTTTGACCGTGGACGCCAGCATCCTCCGTGACAAAGTCGTCGATCGCTGCGCCATCGTCGTGGTGCATGTCCCTAGCACACATGATGTAGAGGAGCCTGATGGGCGAAGACGGCGCGCACCGGAAGGCGTCCGACATGATGTTGATGGTCGAGTGGCGGTTCGGGATGCGAAAGCCACCGCGGTAGACGTACGGTGCGTTGGAATGCGGCGATTGAATCATGCGCCGCGCGTCAGCGTCAAGGACGGGGCTCTCGGCGCGGACTCCAAAGCCCGTCGCGGCGCTCGTGTCGCGCCGCTTGTTGAACGGACTGGTTGTACTTTGACTTTCGGCCGAGGGTCGACCGCCCGCGGTTGTTGACGGTCGTGCTTGGCTTTGGAGCCGAACGGTCTCGAGGAAATGCCCTACCACAGTCCACCAGGTTTCATGCTGTCAACAACCACGACGACGCACCGTCGCCTTGGGGTTGATGGTTGTCTTCGGGTGCGACGCTGCCACCGCTGAGCGTCCGCCGGCTGATCGCGCCACCCAGCATATTGGCGAGCTACGGAAGACGTCCATGTCGTACATTGGTGGTGGGGAGTTGATTCACGTACGGTGTGCATAAAGACCTCGCGGCGTTCGATCGAGCCTTTATCAAACTGCTCGCCCGTGTTCTTGTTGTTGGACACTTTGGCCAGCATGCGTGTGTTGAGCTTCTCGACAATGTCGAGCTGGAGACGGACCATCTTGGCATCGAGTTCGGTTTGGCCTCGAATCTAGAGCCCGATCGATTCAACCAACAGCAAGCATCTCGAGTCGTCGCACCTCCTTGTTGCTTGCGACTTTGAGCACTTCGTATTCGGCCTTGGCGCACACGAGGTCGGCAAAGAACTGGGCGTTCTTGATGAGGAAATTCTGCTGCCGCTCGGAAAACTGCTTGCGGTTCGTGCCATTGTTGTCGGCGCGGCTCGTGGTCGCCGCCACCTAGGACATAATAGTACGGTCGAGACGCCGTGTCGTCGTCGTCGGTGCTACCTTGCCTTCTTGGCGCGCGGAGATTTCAAACTTCCAGCACTCGGCGACGAACGCGTCGCAGAGCATGTCGAGCTCCTTGTTGAGCGTCGTGATCGTCATGTTGCGCGTGCTGGCTTTGGCAACCATCTCGGCAAACTTGGTTTGCTTCTCGGTAAACGCCGCGTACAAGGCTTCGGTGCGCTCGCCCTCCTTGATGACCGCGTCGTTCAAGCGCGTGGCTGTCGTGCCAATCTCGGTCCGATATTCAACTACATCCAGCCATGCTGCAATAATGGTCTCGCGCCAAGAATACGTACCTTGCATGGCCTGGATCTGCTCGTTGAAGACGTCTTGCTTGCCCGCAAAGCTCTCGAGCGTCGCGTGCACCGAGTCGAGAATCACTTGGGTGCTCGCCGTCTCGGTCGCAATCTGCACAAACGTCCTACGCAAATCATTATTGGAGTATTGCACGTGGAAAAATGCAATATGAATGCGATGGGGTCGCACCGCTGGATGTCGGTCTGCGCCGCGTCGTACTCGGTGCGGAACGAAAGATTGCCTTGCTCGAGGTACGAGAGCTTCTCCTTGATGGACGAGAGCGCGGCCTCCGTGTGCACTAGTCACATGTTCAGCAAGGCGCTTGGCGATCGTTGGAGAGATGGATACATGGATCGTAGTACCTTTCATGCCCTCGGTCTCCAGCTGGTGGTTCTCGACCTTGGTGCGCATGGTCGCAAAATTCTTCTCCGTGTCCAACTTGTTGTCAACGACGATCTTGATCAAGCTCGAGTGGGCGTCCTGGTTTTCCTTGATCTTGGCACCGAGCCGCGTCGCGTCCTTCCTTAAATTTTCGCTGGCGTCGCGGCTCACGCGCTCAATGCCTAGCCAGGACGTCGTCTCACGTTGTCGCAAAAAACGCGTGCAGAACCTTCGTAGATCGTGGTGAAGTTTGTGTTGTAGATGACCTCCGTGTCGCCCACGTGCTGCGCGAGGTCGGAAATTTTCTTTCGGTTGTCCATGGCCGTGTGCTCGACCATGTCGATGCGGTCGGCGTGCCGCTTGACGTCCACGGAGAGCGTCTCGACCGAGCACGAAACAAAAATGTCGTCGAGTCGCTTGATCTCTACCTCGCCAGATATGACGACGGTCGTCGTAGATGTCGAACAACGTACCGTTGTGCAAGGCCTCGGCGCGCAACTCGATGATTTCTTTGATCTTGTCCTCGGCCTTTTGTTTGTTTTGGGACGCATCTTCAAAGGCTTGGGCGAGGTCGGCCGTGAACTGGTCGCCTTTGCACTGCTTGTCGCTCACCGCTTGGACTAGGCATGTTGTGAGTCGAGTGGGTCTTGCGATGGCAGCATACGCTTCTCCTTCATAACGCCTTGCTGTGTAATGATCGTTTGGATGTGTTGGTGCTCGGCCTGCGAGTTGCGCCGGAGCTCGTCGAGCATTTTAGCAAATTTTTCCTGCACGAGCCGTTCGCTGGTGCTGCATGGACCTCATGCAGAATGTACCTGCGTCTTGAGGATCTCTTCGATCTTGTCGCTCATAATCTCGACGCGGTTCTGTGTCTTCTGGAGCGCCTCGGCTTGGCTCGAGTTGATGTCTTCTTGCATACTGCGCACCTACGACGACGACAACCCCGAGAAGTCACATTATCGTCGTCGTCCTCCTTCCCATCGTGGTGTACCATGTGAATTTCCTCCTGCGTGCGGCTAAAGAGGCCACTATACTCATCCGAGAGCTTATGGCTCTCTTGCTTGAGCAAGATGAGCGACTTTTGCTCAAAGCCGATGAGTTCATTCTGCGTCACGCACGCGCGGAGGTCATGCGTGAGCTTGTCCATGAGGATCTTGACGTTGCCTTCGTGTTTGGAGTTGCGCGCTTGGATGAGTGCGTCACGGCGCTTCATCTCGGCTTGCAGCCGCATGACGCTGCTTTTGGCCTCTTGCGAGTTCTCTCGCACGATCGCGCTCTCCGCCTACACAAAGGCGACAAGGGCGAGAATGAATATGACGACGTGCATGGAGGTCGTCGTCGCACCCGCAGCTGCTCGATGCTGTCGATGATCGGCTCCAAGATCGCGTCCATCTTGTCTTGCGAGTAGCCGCTCTCGCCCATGAGCGGCACCGACGACGAGAGCGATGCGATACCGTGAATCGTATTGTCCGTCGTGGTCGCCGCCGACGAGGACGGCTCGGGTGGATCGTCCTTGGCCGCGGCGGGGTCAGGGGCCACGAGCGCTTCCCGCCGGGATGGCGCTCGGTCCTGCAGCATGCTCGGGCGGCGGCGCGTCGGGGGTCCGCTCGCGTCGGACTTGGCTGAAGTCGTGTTCGTTGTTGCGGGCGCCTCGTCTTCGGCCTTGCCCGTGCGGCGGGACTTGGCGACGGTCTTGGCGGCGACGTCGCGCCGAAGGATCACAATGTCTTTTGGATGCCATCGATGCTTTGCTTGATGTACTTGAACTGGTCCTTGAGGTTCTGGCACTCGACCATGGCCTCGGAGTTGTTGGCGATGTTCTGCATCGCATCGCTGAGCCACGTGGGAATCTCGCCGTTGCCCATCTCGTTCTTCTCGAGGATCTCAATCTTCATGCGCAGCGTGAGGATGATGTCGAGGAGGCTCTCTTCATTGAAGATGAGGTCCGGTGGGTACTTCCATTGCAGCGAGACAGGGTTCCCATTCATGCTGCGGCAGGGATTGTACTGTGGCTTTTCGGCGCCACTCGACTGTTACGCGCCTGAAACGACAGCCAACAACGAGGAAGAGGCGCGATGGATGCATTAGACTCGGTGTTTAGAAAGGTGCTAACATCGATCCCTCGGAGGCTGCGACGGCCCTCAAGATGACGGACGTAGCGCTTAGAACATGCTCATGCCACGCTCGCCATGGCCGCGCGGCAGCTTGATCTTGGCTGCGTTCTTCTCGACGGCGTCGAGCGTGTACGCGTAGTGGTCACCGACGCTCTCGAGCGTGCGCTGGAGGTTAAAGTACCACTTGACGTCGACGGCCGCGACGTACGAGACGAGGTCGGCGAGGGGCGTCGCCGAGGACGCCGTCGTCTTGTCCGCGTCGACGGTCGACTTTTTGGTCACGTCGCCGTCCTTGCCGCCGACTTCGGCCGTCGTCGAGATTGTATTCGTCTTCTCCGAGGCGTGCTTGGCCGCAAACTTTTCGTATGCGGTCGCGCGCTGCCAGTAGTAGTCGGTCATGCCATCCCACGCCTTCTGGAGCGCCGTGCGGCTGGCGCTGATCTGGAGCTGTACCGACTTTTGGACCTCGACGCCAAAGTTGTTGCCGTCCGCGACCTTGGGGACAAGGAGCTGGATCCAGCGCTCGAGGCTCTGCATCTTCTGGATCGCGGTGTGGATCTCGTCGAGCACGATCTGGATCAGATGGACGAGGCGCGCGTTCGACGGCGCGTCCAAGGTCACGAGCGGGGCAAAGGCCGCGTAGGCCTGCGAAGGCGAAGACGCAGGGAACTCGCGCGCGAGGACCTCGGCGATCCGGTCCATGTGCACCGGGATCTCGTCGAGGACCTTGGTCGCAATCGCCGTCGTCGCCGCTACGCGCTTCTCCATCGTCGTCGTCGAAAAGGCAAAAATACAATCTGCGGTGATATGGATTTGAGGCCGTCCATACAAACACCAAGACAATGAAAATCGAAACCCAACTCAATTTTCATGATTTCGGATCGCTCGCCACTCGTCGCGACCATGCATCCCCGCCAAGCACGCATGGAAGCCATGGCCTCATGGTAGCCATGGCCTCGCTCTATCCGTGCACGAGTACCCTCTATGCAGGGAGTCTAGCATGGACCATGGCTGCAGGCCAGGACGAACGCAAGGTCCAGGGGCTCTGTCGTCTAGATGATGGCCTTCTTGCCTTCTGCCATCGGCGCGTAGTACGCAAGCCACGTCGACGAGATGAGCAAGCATGATGGATTTCCGTTGCTACCGATGCAAGTAGCTACAGTATTGGGTAGGCTCATTCTTGCGTCATGGCACTCGTCCTGGTATGAAGGAGATCCACAATGCGATAATCATCCTCGAAGCGAGGAATCGCAGGATACCGGTCCGGGTGCAGGAGGTGCGCGAGGATCTCAAGGCCGTCCACGAGCGCCGGCGAAGCGCCGCTGAAGAGGCGGTTCGCATCGAAGATAAAGACGCGGCCGGTCTGCACGGCAGGAATGTCCTGAAACCCCTTCTTGGACGGCAGCAGCGCCGAGCTCTCCTTGATGCTCCGCGCCAAGTCAAAGCCGCAGGGCATGATCACGAGGGCTTCGGCGCCCGCGTCGGCCACGTGGCTCCAATCGATCGCCACCGAAAACGTCTCCGGGGCTGCGAGCGGGTCGTAGCCGCCTGCGAGCGTCACGAGCTCGGGCATCCAATGACCGGCATTGTAGATCGGATCCAGCCACTCGACGCACACCGTTTTGAGTGGACGGCAGCCGTCGAGCGCAGTGACGACGGCGTCGACGCGGGCCTTCATGGCCGCGACCATGGCCTGGCCGCGGTCCGCAACACCGCACACGGTGGCGATCGCCATGACGTCCTGGTACAAACCTTGGAGCCCGCGCGCAGTCAAGTAGACGATCTTGGGCTGGACACGAAGCTTGTCGAGGACGGGGAGGACGTTGGCAGGCCCGATCGCGCATACCTCGCAGAGGTCTTGGAGCAGGACAATGTCTACGTCGCCAAGAAGCGCCTCGTCGATCTCATACAGTGGCGTGCCAGCGGTGGCGCTGTCGCTCACAAGCTGGTCAATGGCCCCGGACGAGTGCGTCGCCGAGTCGAAGACGCACCGAATGACCTTGGGCTTGGCCAGCGCGGCTTTGGGAAACTACATACGCAGCGCATGCGTGACGCTGCTGCGCTTCGTCATGGCGATGTACCTGGCACTCGAACGTGACGCACGAGAGGCGGTCGCCAAGCCCGAGCTCGTAGCAGATCGTCGTCCCCGCTGGCAAAAAGGACGCGATCTTCATTGGTCGACGGAAACGCTAAGTGGCAAAATAATTATCAACTACCGGGTTTGAACCGGTGACCTTCTCGGTGTAAACGAGACGTGATAACCACTACACCAAGCTGATTTCTATATGAAACAGCAAAAGTTGGCGTGATAGTGAAAAATAAAATTGTCCGCGTCTCGGGAAACGAAGGATGAGCGACCCTCACCTAATAGAACTATACTTATAGTACCTTAGTATAGCTTGATCAATAATGTTGCAGTCGACATGTCTACCGGTACGACCTATAGACGACCAGAGGTGACGACGGCGCGGTTGAAGATGCGACCGTGCACTTCGAAGCAAGTGGCTAAATCCACGCAACCATCGCATGCCCTGTCGCTCTGCCTGGCGACCATCATGCATGCATAAGAGTCTACGATGACCACGGCAGACGTTTGACGTGATGCAATCGAACGAGCTTCAAGCTGCACGTGTCTATGGCTCCATGGAGGCGACACCGCTGCTTGCGTCGACTCGGAGCTGGTCAAGACAACCACTTGGGTGTTTTAGCTACCTCATCTGATATTCCCAGCTCGTGTTCTTCATGACCCAGTTCGGAATTCGCCACGGAGCAGTCCAGACGATGCTCTCTCGCATGAGTCGCCGCGTCCTCGCGCGCGCAGTGCGCCCCGCGCTTGTGACCAGCGTCGACGTCGATGCGCTAGAGAGTACGCTGCCGACACCGCTGCGCCTCTTTGCCTTCCAGCCCGACGTCATCGTGCAAAAGCCTCCAGCACTGCGCGCCGACGGCCCGCTCGAGCGCCTCCAAGTGCTTCGCATCCAGCTCCACCGCGCCTTTTGCGACGAGGAGATCCAAGATACGATCGCGCATGCGTCTGACCTCTCGAGCGATGGCCTTGCCGCCCTTTTGGAGCCCGAGGTCGCGTTGCCAACCGGCGAGGTCCGGCAGTCGTACGAGTTTGACCGAAGCGCGGGCATCCCAACCTCGAGCTTTGCGCACTTGGGCCAGCACTTGTACGCTGCAACCAACGAGTGGGCCCTTCGCAGCGAGTGGCAGCACGACGTCCGCGCGTTCCACGCCGTCGCCATCACGTGTGCGTGTTAAAACGTGTGTAAAGTATAATACTACGAGGGTGCTGCTGCGAGCGAACGCAAGCATTTCTACACTCTAATCCACAACTTTTTGAAGCTTTTTGTGCTAGCCCAAGAGCTCCTTCTTCCACTTGGCCACGAGTGCTTGGGACGCATTGGCCACGTGCTCGGACGGATGCTTTCGCAGCTTGTTGATGCTCCGACCGAGGCCCGTGGCCTTGAGCGTCTCGACCGTAAGCCGCATCGTGCTAAGCGCCGTGAGCATATCCAGCGCGACAAACTCGTCCAGCGCCTTCATGTCGGCCGTCGCTTCCAGAAGCGCCAGAATGCGCGACAAGTCGGCGTCCTACACACATTCACAGTCGCCACACCGAGAGCATCCGATAGCGTACAAGCAGCGGCGTTGCGGCTTCGACGGTCGCGGCCTTGGCCAGCACCTCCCGGACACTCGCCTTCATGCGGCTGCGCTTAAGGTCCGACTCTAAATGCTCGGCGCTCGCGACGCGCTGCACACGAACGGTGAGATTTCTATCGAGGCTGCATTCACATACGCGTTCGTGTTCGGTGGCCGCGAGGCGCTCGAGGTGCTGCAGAATCGACGCGTCGGCGAGCGCTGGTGCATACCCGTTGAAGCGCGGCTCGCAGAGGGTGAAGAGCGCGGCGGCAGCCTTGTGCACCAGCTCTTCCGAGGTTTCTGTGTCTCGCTGGCGCCAGCCGCCGTCCGGTTGCTGCACGCAGAGCATAAATGCGATCGAGCGCTCAAGCACGGCCTTGGGCGTGGGCTGGTAGCACTTGAGCGCCTACGCATCCCAATACGGACAGCATGAGTAGGGTGGTCGCAGCCGAGGCACTCGCTCCTACCCGGGCAAAGACGCCGATCAGGTGCACGTCGCTTCGAGCCAAGTGCGTGTCAAAGTGCTGCACCATGAAATGATACTCGTGCGGCAAGAGGTCCTATCGCAGCGACGTAAGACCAGACGGATCGCGCTATGGTACCAGTGCGAGCTGCAGCGAGCCGTGGTGGGTCAGTGTCAGCACGAGACGCGCCACCAAGTAGCACTGGTCCAAGTACTCTCTGTCCGTGAGCTCGTGCGGTGGCGCGTACGGGTACAGCGTCACGACCCATTTGAGCACCTACGCCGACGTTGAATTCCCTGGGGCATGCATATCGAAGAACGCACGCTGGCGTACGTGCAACCGATGGAAATGTCCAGGCGCGTCGCAAACCATGTGAGTGTCAGCGCGTTCGTGAGCTTCTGATAGCACGACTGCTTCGAGTCCGAGTGGGCACAGGCGGTCGCAGGGTCCCAGCCAAAGTAGTCCTAGCCCATAACAAAACAGCTACTCTCATCTTTTCCAAACGACGAGATACTACCATCGGGGTGTACGGCGTCATCTGGTTGCTCAGAAAGTAGCGCAGCTCGAGAAGCCGCGGATGCTGCATATGGCAACAGCTAAATGTGTAGGCCGACGAGATGCAATCCAGCACCTAGGCGACGTGAGGATGCGCGGTCGATGTAGTGTGTGAGGTGCGCGTACTTGCAATGGCGTCGGCGCGGTACCTGGAACCCACTCGGGCATGACCGGCGTGTCGAGGTATTGGCTCGCGAGCTGCCGCGCAAAGACCAAGATCGTGCGATGCACATCGCGTTCGGCCGTGATCTCGGCAAGGTCGCAGAGGTACTGTATTGCGTCAAGACCGCACGTGGGAAACACGTCCGGCGACTTGGCGATCTGGTAGAGATATCGCAGGCCAGGGACGAGCGCCGCCGACCGCATCTCTGCCTTCCACACTGGCTCCTTGACGATCATACTGGCATCCGCTGCCATGCTCGAGCGCTGCAGGATGCTGTGCATGATGCGCTTCACGAGGTCCTTGTGGTGCGTCAAGCTCAAGCTGAGCGTCTTCTCCACGTGCTGGCGCACGACCTTGAGGCTGCGGGCGTCGGCGTTGTCCTTGTTCTTGAGCATGAAGGCTTCGATGCACTCCTTGATCTTCGCCTCGAGCTCCGGAGACACGACCTTGGGCGCGATGATGATGGACGTTCCGCCCGCGCCCATGCGCGTCCACATGCCATTCGCCATCGCAACGGCAATATGACCTCTCGGACCCGATACTCTGGAAAATATATCATGCCACACAGGAAACCACTAAATTCGGCACCTTGCCCTTGCCGATGGCTAAAACCACGCCACCTATTTCCGAAGCGCAAGAACGTGGGGTCGCATTTTAATTTTATGGAGGCATGACCATCCATGTCGACTCGAAATTCCCACATGATAGTTGCTTCCCTCGTGGCACATTTTGCGCTGCGTGAACAAGTGTGGGAAATGGTCAATGGCGTGCATTTAGCTGGCGAAAAAGGCTGCCAAGCTGTCTAGTATTAGCACCAGATACACCCCTTATGGACGGCTCTCGGGCGCGAGGGCCATTGCTCGGCCAAGCCATGCCACAAGAGATCACATACCCATTTTTGCAACATTTATGAAGGGTCTAATGGCGAAGGAACTTTGCAAAATGAGGCCAATGCGTCGGTGTGTAGCTCAGTGGGACTTCATATGCCGAATCCAAATGGTTGTGGGATCGCCGTTTTATCCCACAACAACGAAGATTGATGACCGACGACGACGCCCCCGACACCACGGCCGTGAACGAGCTCTTCCACGCGGACAAGCGCCTGGTCGAGATCCTCCAGGAAGATGAGCTCACGGAGGAAGCTCTGGACCGCTTCCGCGCGCTCGTACGTTCCCTGCGCGTCCGAACGATACCCATCATGCCCATGTCCATGTAGCTGGATCCGTACCAGGAGCAAGGTGGTCTTCTGGACCCGATCCTCCGGGACATGGTCACGCCCGTCATGGCCCGCATCCGCTCCGTGATCCACCTGCTGCAGACGTCGTCCGAGGGCAACACTGTCGCGTTCCCGTTTCAGGTGCTCCAAGATCCGACCCAGCGCGACTTGCTCCACCGGTCCTGCCAGGTCATCTACCTGCTCTGCAAGGTCCGCGGGTAAGCATGCTCCTACTTCATGGAGCGAAAATGCAACGACTTCCTCGTAGGTACAAGACGATCGTCAAGCTGCTGTCGCATGAAGTCTCGGAGTTCGAGCCCGTGCTTCTGCTCTTGCAGTCGCAAGATCGCGACGACTGCGCGACGTGGGAAATCCGGTACGTCTCACATCGGCTTCCCATAAGAAGGTCGTCATGCTGCTGCGCAGATATGTTCTCTTGCTGTGGCTTTCAATCTTGGCCCTCGTGCCCTTTGACCTCAAGACGGTCGACTCGTCCATGAGCGGGCACGAGACCAGCGATACGGTTGCGATCGTGGCCAACATCATCACCATCTGCAAGACGTATCTCCAAGACAGCGGTGCCACGCAGCAAGCGGCCGCGCTCTGCCTTGCCCGCCTGTTGAGGTACCCGTGGATGCGCCGAGTTAGCTCCTGTAAAGTGAGACTGCCTAGCCGCCCGGACATGGAGCAGCGGTACCTCAAGATGTTTCTCGCGTACGTCAAGGACGAGTTCGAAGCTTTCTGTGCACCGCACGTTGCCGACATTTCGCCGACGCAAGCGCGCGTGCGCCAGTACCGCATTACGGGTATGTGTGTGCTTGTATCGATGTAGCACGATCCCGCCACGTGCTCATGCGCCATAGGCATCATGCTCAGCCTCTCGTACATTTGCAAGTTTACGCCGCGGGAACAGCACATCGTGCTCATGGGCGACTACTTTGGGCACGTCATGCGCGTCGTCGAGACGATCCAGGCTCACGACGCCGACACGGTCGTCAGTAGCACGCTGCACCGCAAGCTGAGCACGAAGCTGCTGCAACGCATGGGCCTTCTGTACCTCCCGCCAAAGGTCCAATTGCTATTGTCACGACTGCATCTCTCAAAGACGACATAGGTGATGGCGTGGCGCTACGCCCGCGGCTTGCGCTCGCTTGAGGTCAACTTGAACCTTGCGGGCGGCGCCCCGACACCGCAAGCCCCGACGGTGACCAGCGACAACGACGACGAAGACTTTGAGGTCCCGGAAGAGCTCGAGCAGGTCGTCGACGTGCTCCTCTGTGGCCTTCGTGACCGCGACACAGTTGTGCGCTGGTCTGCCGCCAAGGGCATTGGCCGCATCACCGCGCGTCTTCCCTACGAGTTCGCCGATGACATTGTCCAGTCTGTCCTGGAGCTCTTCGTCCCGAGTGAATCTGACAGTACGCATCATTTGGCATCTCCTTTCCGTGCAATGAGAAAACGTGCTTATTCTAGCGGCGTGGCACGGCGCGAGTTTGGCGATTGCAGAGCTGTCGCGCCGCTGTGTCTTGCTCCCGCAGCGTCTCCCAGAAGCTGTCCGAGTCGTCGGCCTCGCACTCATGTACGATGTGCGCCGCGGGGCGCATAGCATTGGAGCTCACGTTCGCGATGCGGCCTGCTACGCTGTACGGTGTCGCTCTGGCTTCCAAGAGGCTGCTATATAAATGGATATACGTAGTGCTGGCGTTTGCACGCGCGTACGAGCCGGCTCTGCTCTTGCCGTACCTCCAGACGACGTTGGCGCCCATCATGCTCACCGTATGTGCGTTTGATCGCGAGCTTAACTGTCGTCGTGCCGCGTCTGCCGCGTTTCAAGAGAGCGTTGGCCGACAGGTAGCAGCCTCCACACCCAAGAAACGCCATGAAAGAATCTGTCCTTAGGGAGTCGCCAACTTTCCCCATGGTATCGACCTCTTGACCAAAGCCGACTACTTTACGCTGGCGTCCGTCACGCATGCGTACTTGGGCGTGAGCTTGTCGATTGCTCAGTACCGTGAGTACCGCTACGCACTCATCGACCATTTGGCCAGCACCAAGGTTTGCTTGGATCATGTCGGAACGTATTGTCATGTACTATGTTGGATACTAGGTGTACCACTGGGACGTGCAAATCCGCGAGCTCGCGACCAAGTCGCTCGGACAACTCTGCGCCTTGGACCCTGCGTATGCAGTGACCAACGTGCTTCCCGCGCTACTCACGGCGAGCATCTCTCCGCTCGTGGACGTCATTGTGCGCCACGGCGCCACGATGGCACTTACCGAGGTGCGTCGCTATCCACTGCCTCCTATTTGTCTAAAATATGAATTCCCAGGTGACACTGCAGCTCGCTGCGGTCCCCGCCTTTCTGGACGGCGAAAGCATCCGACGCTTCAAGATCATTCCGATCGAGATGGACAAGCGGCGGCTGTACCGCGGTCGTGGCGGTGAAATGATCCGTGCGGCCGTCTGCCGCGTCATCGACGCTGTCAGTCGCATGGGCTGGGGCGTGTCGCTCGTCGTGCTCAAAAAGTACCTCTCGACGCTCGAAGGTCGCTTCTCGCACCCCAAACATGTCGTATCTCATGTTTTGGGTGGCACTGCGTAGAATGCATCAAGCACCCGAACGAAGACGTCCGATCAGCGGCCATTGACGCCTATGACAGCCTCGCAACGCGCTACTTGACGAAATTGCTCGCCAAGCCGGGCTCGGACGCGGCCTTGTTTGTCGCCGCGATCGTACCGCGCTTCCTCGCCAACGTGTCTTCTGGCCCGAAACAGTACAGCGCGATGCCATGGTTTATCAACCTGTATACTCTGCGTATAGGCTCTTGAACCCGAACGTGGCGACGCGCCGCGGCTTTCTTCGCGTGCTTGGTACAACGGCGCATGTCATCGGCCGCATGGATTGATGCCGTTTCTAGGGCTCTCACCGTATGTGATGCTCCAGCCGCATGCGGCTGCTTGCATCGATATCTTTGTCGTCGCCGCCGTCGCATCGCTGCACACGACGGACGAGCAAGACGCCGAGTCGCGCGTCGCGGCCATCCAAGCGCTCGTCGACTACACGACGCGCAATCGGTCCGAGCTCGAGGCAGCGACACTCGAGCGTATTCTGGATGCGCTCTTGCGGTGTGCGGACGAAGATTACGGCATGGACGAGCGCGGTGATGTGGGGTCGTGGGTCCGAAAGGAAGCGATGACGGCGTTGGCGTCGATTGCAACGACGTTCTCGCGGCCTCTGTCGGTGCTAACGACCGACGACGTTGTGACGATCCCTGGGTATGGCGCAGGCCGCGTCGTTGACCGCCGAAGCTTGTCGGGAACATCCAGTATCGTTCACGTTCAGTTTGAACGGCCGTCGCCGAGCTTCTACTACTTTGCGCCCAACGGCATTGGCATCTTCAACAGCAAGCGCATTGCGCCCCGTAACGACGCGGCCGACACTCCGATGCTGCCGGTGCTCGCCGAGCGCGTCCGGGCGTCGGACGATCGGTCGCCGCCCGCCGTGCAGTTTCCGCCAAAGCTCATGCACCGCTTTGTACGTCCCATATTGTCTCGGACCCACGTTTCCTCATGGAAGTGCTTCCTAGTGCAACGTCCTCGTGAAGCAGCTCAGCGAGAAGCTCGACACGATTCGATCGGTCGCGGGCACCATTTTGTATCAGCTCTTGCGCCACGAACCGCTGATCGAAGGCATCGCCGATCGCCCGGCCCTTGAGCGCGTCCTCGGCGACGGATCGGTCAACTGGGCCATGGCCCACGAGACGTTTCCGATCGTCATTCAGGTTCGCACGCGTGTGGCATTCCTTTCTTTCTCGTCAACCGGATGCGATGTAGTTGCTGGACAGCCCCGAGTTTATGGGCCCCGTGGTCGCGGGCCTCGTCATTAGTGTCGGTGGCCTCACCGAGAGTGTCGTACGATATCCCGCCCGTCTCGAATGGGAGGCGTCATAGAGTGGTAGGTGAAAGCGTCAAAGAGCGCGACACTCGGATGGCTCAAGACGCACGTCAAGCAGCAAGACTTTCGCATCGCGTCGCAGTTTGCGTACCGGTGCCTCGAGCTCTTTGATTTGCACACGTCGGAGGACCGCGTCGTGATCCCGCTCCTCAAGACCATGTCGGTGTGTCTCGAAGCCCAGGCACTCGCCTTCCTCCACAAGGACGGACCCCTCTTTGGCAACGCCGTGTACGACGCCGTGCGGATTCAGATCAGCAAGTCGTCCGACATGCACAAGATCAGCGCCGGTCTCTCTGGTACGCTCCCCTTGCACGACATCACATTGACCAGATTGGTAATGATTTAGTGCTTGTGGGACTTCTCCCCAGCGAGACGTCGGTCGAGCAGCGTGCTTTTCGCGGCCTCGCTGTCTTTTTGGGCCATCGGTTTCCCAAGGTCGCTCTACTCGGTTCTCATGGTATACATCAACACGATGGTGCTTTAGGTGCGCAAACTCACGGCCGAGAAGCTCTACACGCGCCTGCTCATGCACGAGGAGCTCGTGGACGAAGCCATGGTAAACGTACCACACGATTCTTGCTCCCGGCTCATGTGTTGCGCTAGTACGAGGCCATCTTGGGCACGCTGAGCGAAACAGCGTGGGACGGCGATGTACGCTGAGCGCCTCGTTGACAGAAGTATGGACGACAGCTTTTGTGTAGATCAATGTCGCTCGGACCCAGCGCGACAAGCTCCTCGATCTTCTTGGCTTGGAGAAGATCGCGAAGCGGTAGTGCACCACGCAAGTACGACGCGGACGTTTGACGATCGTGGTTTGTGTCTAGAGCGACCGAGGCCAAGGTGGTGGCGGCGCCGGCGCCGGCCGTCAACTCGTACGAGTCGCTCGTCAAGGAGATGGGCTACTAAGGCGGCGACCGTCGCTGCAAATTTACGTACGCACGGCTTGATTACATTTACTCTATTCTACGCCGATTCGCTGCGGCGGGCAATCTCCGCGAGGAGCTCCTTGGTCGAGAGCGTCTCGAGGTCGACGGCGTCGACGTTGAGCCAGTCGACGGGGTTCTTGAGGACTTCCAGCGTCCGTGCTTCCCACGAGCCTTCCTTCGGGATGTTCATGTACTCCCAGCGGGCCGTGAGCGGCAACGACATGAGGATCGACTCGATGCGCGAGCCGGGCACGTTGAGGCCAAACTTGGTGCCACGGTCGTACATGACGTTGAACTCGACGTAGCGGCCGCGACGCACCTGCTGCCAATCCTTCTGCGCCTGCGTGAAGGGCATGTCCTTGCGCTTGAGCATGATGGGCACATACGCATCCAACATCGAGTTGGCGCACGACCGCGCCATCTGGAACGTCTTCTCCGGGTCCTTGTCCATGTCATCGTAGAAGAAGCCGCCAATGCCACGGTGCTCTTGGCGGTGCGGGATGTAAAAGTACTTGTCGCACGTCTCCTTCATCTGCGGGTAGAAGCTCTTGTCGTGCTTGTCGAGCGCAATCTTGTAGACCGCGTGGAAGTGGCGCGCGTCCTCCTCAAAGAGGTACGCGGGCGTGAGGTCGGCGCCGCCGCCAAACCACGCAAGCTTCTTGGGCTTGCCGGCTTCGTCGAGGCGACCGGTCTCGACTTCAAAGTACCGGTAGTTGAGGTGCATCGTCGGTGCCATTGGGTTGCGCGGGTGGATCACGAGCGAGACGCCGCAGGCAAAGAACGGCAGCGGCTTGTTGACCTCGAGGTTGCGGCCCTGCGAGTTCATCTGGTCGACCGCACCCTTCTTGAGGTCGCCGTGGATGATCGAGACGTTGACACCGGCCTTCTCAAACACCTTGCCGTCCTGGATGACGCGCGAGCGGCCACCACCGCCGTGGCCATCGCGCTCCCACTCGTCCGTGCGGAACTTGGTGCCATCGATGACCTCCATGCCGGCGCAGATCTCGTCCTGGACGCGGAGGATCATGGCCTTCATGCGCTCGCGCATCGGCGCGTTAGTGTCAAACTCGATCGAGTCGGCCGGCGTCTTGTCCGCCGACAAGGGCGCGAGGAGGAAGTCCTTGGCGTCGACCTTCTTGGCCTGCGTCGGCGCGTTGCTGGCGCCCAGGGCCATGCCCATGCCCATGGCGGCGACGGCGAGCGTCGGGTTGACGCGGCGAAGATGAGCGACACGGCCAAACATGCTGCTTGGTGGCAGATCTAAAAATGACGGGCGTGGACGTCTGTGTGGTCAACCCACGAAGGTCCCACTAAGTGCGCTTGCTACAAACCTCTGTATAGTTTCTTCAAGTACGATCGTACTTAAGCGCAAAAAGGCGCGGGGTGTTATGGATACGACCCGATTTGTCCGTTCTTTGTAAGAGGACTTTGCCTCCTGCATGTCTTCGTGCAGCCCCATAGACAAGTTGTCCCTCTTCTGTCGTACTAATGGGCTATGGTATCGGCGAAGCGATGTGCCCGGGTAATGGAGGACGTCCAGTCGGCGGTGGCGCTTGGTTGCGAGCGGCATCCGGATGAAGGAAGAATCCCTCTTGCGTGGCGGACGCAATACTCGTCGTCGCCGATCTTCTTGGGATGCGTGGTTATGCAGCGCAGGTACATGGATGCCGCAGCAAGAGAGGGCACCTTCAAAGAGTCGTCATTGACGAACGTAGCGACATCCGTTGGTTCGTTGGTTCGTTGCCGCGAGGAGTCGGCGCAGAAAGGTCGTGTCGGCCGACTTCACTTGCCATCGGTCGTGCTAATTACAGTCGTAGTACTGCAGGACATCAAGGGTGCATGAACGATCGAGAACCGAGCGTCGCGACAGAGCGTGGGACATGCGATGCAACGGCGACGATATGATGCGGGAGGCCTCTCGAGCAGAAAGGTCAAGAGGCGGCCGCGAGAGGAAGAGGCCATGGCGTCGCCAAGGTCCAGCGTGTGGGCAGTTGACGGCAGTTGATGCAAGGCGGCAGGGGATGCGCGCGTAGGCATCCGGCGAGACATGTCTGAACCCAAAGTTGAAGTTGGACGATTGCGAGGATCATCGAGCGGTTGGAAGTCTTGGCAGCAACACTGACGCACCCTTTCGAGGTGTCCGTGCTTGCTACTGCATGCATGCCAGTCGACGACGTCGTGCCCAACAAGACGAGCATCACGAGGATTATGACGATGATAAGTGTAGCGGAGGCTTACCGGTAACGTCCCAGCTGCGTTCGCTTCACAGACAGGATATCGGACTCATCGATCGCCCAGACAAATGAACGCTTTGCCGCAATGAACCAGACCCGAGGCAATGAAGACAAGCGCATTGACGGACCATCGACCTTGAGCTTGAGCGTGCCTCCGCCGAATGCACTCGTCGTAATACTTGGCACTCGTATCGACCCCAAACATACCAGGCTCTGGACGCCGCTGACCGTTGCGCCCGTCACGACGATCAGCCTTTCGGTACATGCATCACTGTGCCCAGAGTTTGCGCTTGCTCAAGCTGCAAAGCTCTGCGCAAGGTCGAACGCCCATGTCGGCTGAGTGCATGTATCCGACTTCGCCTGCGCTGCCAGTCATCAACTCGAGCTGGTAACGAGGCTGAACCATTTCTCTGTCCAAGCGGGGCATACGCTTCCACCGCTGCCATGCGCCTGCTCAACGAAGACATGTCGAGCCCGCATACGTGGCAGAATGTCCGGATACGATGCGGAGCTTTCTGCTTCAACGTCCGGATGACGCGTGATCGAAGGAAAGATTTCGGACAGCGCATCTGGGCGGGCGGACGAGCGTCATGGACACCGGATATGGCTATGGCAAGGACGAAGAGGGCGGCGACGTCTTGACCAAGATGCGCGAAGACGAGTTCCCGCACATGCAAGGTACCCTCGCTTGCTTGCTGCCGAGGTGTTACCCGTCGAGTAGGCCACGTGTACCTCGACCACGCCGGCGCAACGATGTTCAGCGCGCACCAGCTACGGGACCACCAGCAGCTTCTGGTCACCAACCTCTATGGCAACCCACACAGCACATCGGCGCCCTCTGGCAGCGCATCGGCCGCTGCCGTCGACGATCTTCGCGCGCACCTCGCTGCCTTCTTCAAGACGTCGCTCGAGACGTACGACATTGTGTTCACGTCGGGCGCCACCGCCGGCCTCAAGCTCGTCGGCGAAGCCTTCCAGTTCACGAGCCAAAGCGCGTTTGTGTACAGCACTGACTCGCACAACAGCGTGCTTGGCATCCGGGCGTTCGCCCAAGCGGCCGGCGCGGCCGTTGTCGCCCTGCCCACGACCGCCCTGGACGCGCTGGTTGCTTACTACGCCTTGCCGGTCTCGCTTGACGCTCTGCGCTATAGGCGTCTCCTGCACTCGACGAGACCAGCGTATTGTCTTGCAACAAGGACGACGACGACGACGACGAGCCCGTGTGGCACTTGTGCGCGTTTCCGGGCGAGTGCAACTTTAGCGGCGCCAAGCACCCGCTGCACCTCGTGTCGACAATCCAAGCCAACGGCTTTGACGCGCTGGACTTGGCGCGATACGCCATTGCAGCGTCGAGCTGCCAGCCCGCACCCCGCGGTCGCTGGCTTGTCCTCTTGGACGCTGCCAAACTCGCCGCGACGGGGCCAGTCGACCTATCGACGGTACCGTGCATGTAGCTCCGCCACGGCTTATGCTGCCTAGCACACGCCGGACTTTATGGTGCTCTCCTTCTACAAGCTCTTTGGGTACCCCACGGGGCTTGGCGTGCTCTTCATCAAGAGAAGCAGCCAGCACGCGCTGTCCAAGCGCTACTTTGGCGGCGGGACACTGGCCACGTCCTTGGCGTCCTCGCTACTGTCGACGCCGCGACCTGAGATGCACCGGCAGTTTGCCGATGGCACGCCGTCCTTTCTAAGTCTCCTCGCGTGTCGGTTTGGATTCGCACAGCTCGAGAAATTGGGTATGGACGCGATTGGTCGCCACGTCAGTGCGCTCACTGCGTACCTCGTGCGGGCGCTGACGTCGCTGCGTCACGGCAACGACCGCGCCGTGTGCGTCATCTACGGCGACCACCACCACCGACCGGATCTCGACCACGGGTCGATCGTCGCGTGCAATTTTCTTCGACATGACGGGTGATGATAAATCGCCGAATCGGGTCGGACTCAACAAGTCGTGCTAGGAGCGCTGTGGGCTACTCGGAAGTGAGCGCGCTTGCGTCGTTGCATCAGATTCATCTGCGCACGGGCTGTTTTTGCAACCCTGGCGCGTGCCAAAAGCACTTGGGCTTGTCGGCCAACGCTCTCCAGACACACATCGAGCTCGGTACCCACATGGATGCGGTGTAGCGTGGTACGACGATTGCTGGACTAGGTCACACGTGCGGCGACGCCATGGACGTCATTGACGGGCAGCCGACCGGCGCCGTCCGTGTCTCTGTCGGGTACATGACCACGCAAGACGACGTCGACACGTTTCTCTCGTTCGTATCCACGTACTTTGTCTCGGCGACATTACCCGTCGTGCGGCATGCGCCACCAGCGACGCCTCTCGGCGTGTACGTTGCGGCGATCACGCTCTTCCCAATCAAATCGTGCGCGGGGCTCTCGGTGGCCTCGTGGCCTCTGGGGCCGCGCGGGCTCCTCTACGACCGCGAGTGGGCGATCGTCGACCCTGTCTCGGGCAAGGCGCTTCGGCAAAAGGACACCGCGCGCCTGACGCAGATTCGTCCAAAGATCGACTTGGTTACGAGTGAGCTTGTGCTGCGCTGCGGCGCGCTTGCGCCACTGCGGCTGCCACTGACGTACGCGCCGTCCACACTCCAGGTCCCTCGTGCGATTGTACTTGGTCGGCTCACGAGCCGCGGTGCGTAGCGTCTCACCGTGTGCGCCACAGCGTGCGACGGCAGCCTGTACGACAGCCTCGTCGCATCGTGGTGCACCAAGGCGCTCGACCGGCCGTGCACACTGGCGCGCGTTGCACCGACGGCGACGACGGCCATTGGCTTTGCCAACGAAGCTCCGTACCTGCTGCTGTCGCGCGGCAGTGTCGCGGACATGAATGGCCGCATGAAGACGCCCGTGTCGGAGGCGGTCTTCCGCGCCAACATTGTCATTGACGGCTGCGGCCCGTACGAAGAAGACGCGTGGAAGGGCGTGCGAGTGGGGGAGACGCGCTTCGATGTGCTGGGGCCGTGCAGTCGCTGCAGCATGATCAACATTGACCCGACGACGGGCGCCTTCTCGCCGGCGCCACTTCAAACGCTCGCGAGCTACCGCCGGGAGCGCGCCAAAATCTTTTTTGGCCAGTTTTTGCGCCAGCAGTCGACAGCAGCGGCGATCCTTACTGTCGGCGACCCCGTCGTTGGCGAGCGGTGACATCCAAGGGCAGCGAGGACGAGTGCGGCAGAGCAAGGAGGACGACGCGCAACGCAGCCAAGGACAACTGCGTCGTGCCGACTTGTACGGTATTTACACTCTGCTCTTTAACTCTTCTGTACTGTACACTACTGCGCCTATGGTCTCGCCTTTGCTTCTACAACTAATCTGCAACTAAACTGCAACTACTAAACTACTCGACAGATACAATTCTACTAGCTACGATTCGGCCTAGGCGTACGGCCGGTGGTGCGACGGACCCGCGGCCGTTTGCGCCATAAAGTCGAGGACAATGTGGTAGAGCCCCGACTCGTCGATGGTCGGGCGGTTGGGCGGCCCTTGGAGGTACTCGACAAAGTGCTTGTGGCACTGCGCCGCGTATGCCGCGTCGTTCATCTTGAGCTGCGAGTAGAGGTCGGCGAAATTCGGAAAGATCTCCATGACCAGGCGCATCTCGCCTTCTTCGCCGTCGTCGTCCTCAATAACCTCGAGCATCTCGGTCACGACCTCGCCTGCGCAGCGCTCCAAGCCTACGCGATACGGTGTATCAGCGCTACGTTCGCGACGAGAGGCGCACCGAGAAGGCCGTCGCGCTTGATCTTGAGTTGCTCAAAGGCCGCCTTGTCTTGCTTGGCCGCGGCGACGCTACCGAGCTCCAAGCCCGCAGCCTTGGCCTACGATCCCGATACGTCGCAAGGGTCCTCGACACGTCAAACAACGCACCTCGGCGTCGAGCTGCGCAAGCATCGCGTCGGGGAACGGAAGCCGTGTCTCGGGCTCGGAAAAGTCGCCGGTCGCGAGGATGTACTGGACAAGGCTCTCAATGTTGTAGACGACGATCGTGCCGTTGGGGCGCACAAAGCGAAACTACATGGTGGCATGAGAGGTCGGTGGTTCGATCCTTCAACGTACCGTGTGGGGCCCGAGCTCCGTGAGCATGATCGGGTCGACCGTGTTGAGCCCGCTCGAGGCCTTGGTCGTCTTGGTCGTCTTGCGCCACCAGTACTTGGCCTTGGTCTTCTTGCCCTTCTTCCTCTTCTTCTTGCTCTTGCCGACCGCGGATGCATGCGCGCGCTTGGCGTACTGCATCTGGCGCTGGAGCGCCTGGTGGAGCTCGAGCTTGGAGAGGTGGCGGAAGTACTTCATGCCCATGACCCGCGCGAGGCCGTGGAGCTCGTCCATCGACGGGCACGATCGCGTCTCCATGTGTCTGGGAGGCTGTAAAAACGGAATGACCAACCTTTCTTCGGTCGCAGCTCAACCGGTTCTTCGACTCGCGCGACTTGCGCGCTGTGAAAAAGCCTTCAACCTTAAAGATTGGCCGATTCGCTTAGATAAGTACACGCCGTCGGAACAACGCGACAGTCTAATCGCACGCCACCGTAGCCGCCGACGCTTGCCACGCGAGAGGGCTCGGCGGCGCGACTCCCACATGCGATCGCTCCCAAGACGAGGACCGATGGTACAACACAATCGCTACATGACCAGGAGGTCGGCTACGACATCACTCGTCCTACGCGCGCGTTGCCGGTGCATATGCGAAGGATTTGTAAGCGGCAAGATACGCAACCGATCGACGCCACGTTGTGCATGACCGGCTGTATGCGTTGTCGACAGTACAAGGCGCACTCAGCGAGCAACAAGGCCGGCGCGACCGACGCGTCTTTGCTGCAATGCGGGGTAGACATGGTCGCGCAGTTGGCCACGCTGGGCCAAGTATGTGAAGTATGTGCAGGATGCATCATCGTTGAAGCGCCGACATGAGCTTGCCGTTGGGGTCTGATCGCACTGGCTTCTCCATACAGATATGTAATGAAGGTGGCGATTCTTGACGTCATCTTTCATGTGTCCGATGTTTTTTGGGTGTTTCTAGCCAGCTCAGCCACCCACTGCTTTTTTCGGACGTTTTATGGGAATACCTGTTGAAACCCATGCACCGTGCGTTCTGATTGGTCATCGAGTATGACAGGGGCGACGCCGGGTGCTTGATTGGGATGCTTTCTCCCCTACCCCTGTGGCGACGGCTGATTTTGACCAATCCGATGGTGCAGAACACCAAGATCTGCATCTGATTGGCGAGAAAGTCCGAATTGAGAACAAGATCCCAACGAGGTTTTCTGTGTGAAACAGGCCAATAATGCCTATAATTAGGGAGAATATCCGAATTGTACACTAAAACCAGGATGCGTGGGCGGTCGACAAAAAATAGAAGCCACCTTCGAAATCTTTCTATCGAGGAGCGCAAGATGCAATAAAAAGCCAGAGTGACTGGCCGTTTGTATGCAACCGGGACGCCGGTCGAAGCTCGCGCTTCGGTTTGGAGCGGTCGACGTCGTCGCCTCCGGCGATCGGAGCCAGTCAGCCTCGAACCAAACTTGCGCCCGCCGCGTCATACTGTACGCACTGGATTTGGAACCGAGTCTCTAGTTTAAGCGCCCTTACACCTGCTGCCAGGGCTCGTGACGTGGCAGCGCCCAAGCTTACAAAAGGTCAGAGCTAAGAGAGCTTATAACGTGGAGCTCAGAGTTCGTCTTTCGCCGTCGTCGGGCTCTTCGCGTTCGGGACCGGCGCGGTTGGCGGCGCGTCATCGGTGGCGTCCTCCTCAACATCGTCGACGTCTGGCACACAGTGGATCGCCTGGGCGAGCTCGGCGCGGCGCCGGTCTTCTTTGGCGAAGTGCGGGTGCGCGCACACCTACAAATATCTTTCTTCCCCAATATGACCCAGGATGGACACCTACCGCCGGCGCCGCGACCTTGATCATGTAGTTGCACGTGGAGGTTTCCTGAATGCTAATGATGTACGGAGGCTGTGTTTTGAGCGTCGGGCAGAACAGCAAGAGGCGCGTCATTCTAGAAGCAATGTCATGCGCATGCATCCACGAGGTGTGTACCGCGAGCGATCGACGGCGTCGCACGGTGTGCCGCTGTCGTAAATCTCTTCGTACGCCGGCTGCTCCTTGTCGTGCGTGCCATCCATGAACTCGGAGAGAATGGCCTTGTGGTTGGCTTGGAGAGCATCGTTGGCCGCCGCGCTCCACTGCCTAATCTGCGACTCAGCGGTTGCCATATCCGGCAGAGTCGGTCGCACCCGAGCGAGAACTCGGCCGTGATTTCGCCCGTAGTTTCGCGCCGAAATTGGCTAATCTTGTTGCCAAAGCACACTTCGTAGGTCCACCAGCCTACCGCATTCATACAGTCAAAATTTATCAAGAGAGTATCAAGCAATCGAGACCTTCGGTGCGCTTGATGCACGTGTTGGCGGTCGTGAGTGGCTTGAGAAAGTGGTCGACACTCAAATCCAGCGCGCTCTCGGCGTACTTGTCCAGGCAAAACGAGCGCGAGCCCAAGAGAAATGCGGTGAGTGGCGACGACGGCGTCGGCGTGTGCAGGCCCAGAAATGCAAGCGCAGGTGCATCCGAGCACGCAAACTGCACGGCAATGTTGGGTCCAAAGTACTGCGTGTACAAAAGCGTCTCGGGCGTAAATTGCGCCTAGAAGGTCGTTGAACGGGGAGTGGGTGGTTCGGAGATGGACCTCGGGGGACTTGGGTGACGGCTTGATGCGCATGTACTCGACCAGCGGCTTGAGATCCGCGTCCGACGTGTAGTCAGCGACCTTGGCGCGCGATGCGGGATCAGCATGCTGGGTTCCATCGAGGAGGTCAGCCCGATGAATCGCCTAGACACGTGAGTTAGCTATCCGACTATCTGCAAGGCGAAGGGTACCTTGGAGTGGCACACCTCGAAGAGCGTGCGCGATTTTACATCGGCGTGCGTGAGGCATTTGGGGCGGACCTTCTCGGCGATCTCGCGGCCGATTTCGACACGCGTCTGCTTGACGTCCGTCGCAGGGTCATGCTCTTCGCTCGAGACAGTGGGTACATAGCAGACGTAGCGTTTCCCGTTGCTAGCCGTCATGGGCATCGGTTCCCCAGGCAGCGTCGAGACCGGTGGCGCGTCGTCGAACGGACTCTTCGTGTTGACTTGGCGCAGCGCTTCGGCCTCGCTTCCATGGAGGCGGACCACGTACGAGGAGTCGGCCATGACCATGGACGCATCGTTGGCAGAAGCAGCAGCGGCGAAGATGACGGCGATGAGCCATCGACCGACCATTGCAGGCTTCATGGTGCTGCCAAGTGTTCGAGCCAAATGTCACCTCCGCTTGGAGCACACACATTGGTTCAAAAAAAGAAATATTTTGACCAATCAAAGAAGATTCAGTTGACCACCGCGGATTCGTCAAAAAGCTATGTTTAATTGTCCAATCATATGTCAGCATGACCGCACTAGATACACGTAGTCCATGAAGGCAAAACGAAAGACGTTCTGGTCAAGCGCCTAATCAAGCCAGAGAGGTCACACACCAGAATCCTCCTCGCGCTGAAGCGCTTGAGGTGTTGGGGGTCATTGTGGTCATATCGACTAACGTTTCGATGACCCGTTATGTGGCGTCGCTTGGCTGTTATGGTGATGGAGCTTGTCTTTCGATTGATGAAGTAGTACTATGCTTTGACTAATGGTGCTCCTTGTAGTATATCGAGTGGATGTTCATGGACGGATGTGTCTCGCGTAGGTGCGTCTTTTCTGGAATCGTCGGCGGGTAGTGCTCCACGCGGCCACCATTGATGACGTTGAAGGGTCGTCCGGCCTGGCCTTCGTTGCGCAGGTGCTGGGCCCTACGCCCGAGTCATGTCCGCTTCCATCAAACAAAAAGATCGACCACGCACCGCTCGGGGTGCCACACGGGCGGCGTCTCGTTAAAGAGCCGTCCATACGTATCCAAACGGGACCCTGGAAACTTGATGCGTTCTTGACAGACTTTGGTCACGTGCGCGGGCTTGATTGAGTCGTCTTGCGTCAAGTACGAGTAGCCGAGCTTGGGTATTGACGTCGTTTTGCTACAACCAACGCAGTCGATACAAAGCATTTGCAGTAATATGTAACCTACCAGCGCAGGTTGGTCTCGCGCGCGTTGCGCTGTCGCTGTTCGTGCTGCTGCTGGCGGTCGAGAAGGTTCGCCGACGCGCCGTAAATTTGCGTGTCTGTCACAGCAATGTCTTATCTATAAACGCTGTCAAACGCGATGCCGTACCGGGGTTGGACGGTCCATCGAGGCCCATGACACCCCCGGGGTACTGATGTCGCCTAGAAGCCATACATTGGATTTGCGACAACACAACGTTGAAAGTGATCGGACATGAGCTGCACAAGGCGGCGCTCTTTCATTTCTGCGCGCTTCTGGAGCGCTGCCGCCTTCTCGGACGCGGTCGCAAACTGCTGGCGTTCGCGGCGCTGGGCGGGCGTCATGATGCCTTCTTGCAGCGTCGCCGAGGCCACGTGGTTGTAACCAAGCGTCGCTTCTGCCACCGTTGCATTGTTTCGCACCGACTCGGGACGCAACACGACCAAATTCTACGATCCATAGCGTTCCGAACTGGTACCAAAGAGCAGTCGCTGTACTTTGCCCGCCTGGACAGCGCCGGCGCGCGCGACAATGTTCTCTTCGAGAGATCTACCACAGACGATATTCAACACCCATCCATTTGCTTGGACTAGAATGCGCTACCGAATGTGCAATGTCGGGTCGAACGCGGGTTTCGTGCCAAGCACCGTTGTGTGGATGCTGTCGTTCTCCAAGACAATCACCTTTCCGCGTGTGTCCAACCTAAGGGCAGATGGTTTTCATAGGACGACGCAGCAAGAGTCCATGCGAACCGCGCGAACGGCGTCACATTGCAATTCTCGCCATTCCACGAGCGCTGGACGAGGCCCGTGTGCGTCGCCGGGCGGTTCTACGCGCAGCTTAATGAAGCGTTCGGTAACTGCTGGCGTACGCGGCTCTCTTCGTTGAACGTCGACGGCGAGTCCAAGAACCGGTTGAGCCGCGTCGGGTCCGTCGCCTTGGCCTTCGCCGGTCGCATCGCTCGCAGGTTGTGGGTCCTATTTCTGTTCCGCAATTCTATTGGCGCGATTTGGCCAATCCAACGCGTCTATTTTGATGGACAACCATCTGGAAACATACGTGGCACGCTGTCGTGGCAGGAGGCAAGTGGCCAAGCCTTCGCATGATGGATACTACATGGAATAACGGACAACGCATCGTAGAATCAAAAATGCATTTGATCAAGACTACGGATCGAGTCGTGACGGCCGGCTACTTCTCGATTTTACTGGATGGAACATCCGCTCGTCGACTCGTCGTGCTTGGCCTGCCGGGCAGCCTCCTGGGCTGCCATCATCGCCGCGTGCTCTTGCGCCTGGACGCTCCGGTACATGCGCTCTTCGTGCTCGAGTTGCGCGCGATACTGCTGCTCCATCACAGCGTTGTACACGTCGCGCCGACGGGCTTGATCTCGAGGCGCAAGCTCGCGCGCACGGGCATCTTCCCACGCGCGCAAGCGGGCTTGGTACGCTCGCTCTTCTTCCACCTGGGCCGCCCGGGCCGCTGCTTCGGCTTGCACGTTGGCGCGGTGGGCTGCCGCAGCTTCTGCCATCATGATCTCGTACTGGACGCACACGTCATCGTCGCTATCATAGTCGTCGTCGTCGTCATCACTGTCATTGCCACCATACTCGTCGTCGTCGTCGTCATCGTCGGCATCACTGTCATTGCCGCTGTCGTTGGCGCGCTCGGCCTTGATGATGGCCGTCGCGTGCCTGGGCGGCGCGCCCGCAATCGCACCAAGACGGACGCAGTGCTCCAAGAAGGGGCCCCACGTCGAGCTCGTCTCGAGGATGTCGGGGTTACCGACGACGATGAGGAGGGCTTTCGCCCGCGTGATCGCGACGTTGAAGCGCTTGGGGTGCGACACGAACCCAAGGCGAAATTTGGCGTCGTCAGCAAAAAACTCGGTCGAGCTGCGCACGGTCGAAACGAGGATGACACGGCGCTCACCACCTTGAAACTGCTCGACCGACCCGACGAGGACACCATCGAGCTTGTGCTTTTGGAGCGCCATCTGAATCTTCTGGCGCTGCTTGGCGTACGGCGTAATGACGCCAATCTCGTCGAGGCGCAAGCCTGGGTACGTCTTCAGCGATTGAATGTACGTCAGTACGGCGTGGAGCTCAAACAAGTTGTACCACGACGGCGAGTCGGCGTCTTGCATTTCGGCGCCCGTGATGCCGTGGAAGAGGATTGGCGCCGCCGCGTTGGGCAGACTCGGCCACGCCAGCATGTTGTGCGTCGTGGCCTTTGGTGCGTGCGGCGTGAGCTCGCCCTCGTAAAAGAGCTCATTGGGCACGGTCAGAATGGCGTCGTGGGACCGATAGTTGCGCAGCAGCTTTGTCTTGTGCGACGTCGCGTACAGCTCGCGTTCCATGAGTCGTTCCATGAGCGACATGCCGAGGCCATGCTTGGCGGCCACAGCCGACTTGACGACGGGCCCGAGCTGCTTCGGGTCCCCCGCGAGGACCACTACAGTCGCCGGCAGAGCCAGCGGACCCAGCACCGTGACAACCTCGGGCTCGGACGCCTGCGCCGCCTCGTCGATCGCAATCAAGCTAAAGTACCCACGGGCGACACCGAGGTTGTAGAGCTTGGCGCCCGACCCGATTGTCGAGACGATGACGGCGACCGCCTGGACATCGCCCAGCGTTACGGGCGTAAACCCGCCTTCGCCGTTGGTCTTGGTAAAGGGAAGCACGGCGTCCGGCGTGCCTTTCTCACGGCGGCTAAAGGCCATGGCACGCAAGAGCTTGGCGCGCGTTAGCTGCGACGCTAGACGCTCGACAACATTGTCGGCCGCCGCGTTCGACGGTGCGCACACGAGGATCTTCGCATCCGGCTTCGCTCGGAGCAGCTGCACAATCGTCTCGACAAGCGTCACGGTTTTACCCGTGCCTGGCGGCCCAAAGAGCAAGTAGGGCGCCTTGACCTTGGCCGACGACATAACGTGGTCGAGTACGTCGTTGATGACCTTGTGCTGCTCGGGGTTGATGGAGCGCGTTGGCTGCAGCGACCGCTGGATTTCAACGGGGCGCGGCACCGTTGGCGACGGGAAGAGCAACGTCTCGTGCATCGCCAGTGAGATACTTGCGAGGCCTTGGTGCATCTCGCGCATCGGCGTCCGCGACATGATGAAGCGGACGTTGAAGCTCGCGCTCGCTTGGTACGCGCTTCGAAAGGACGTCGGCGTCGCAATGTAAATCGCATCGAGACGCACATCATACACGGTGCCCTGGAACGTCTTGGCGCCACGCGAGAGCCAAACTTTGTCGCCCGTCATGAGCGACGGCCGGCCTTCGGCGAGGCCAGGCACGGCGAGCTCGTAGAGGTCTGGGGTCTTGACCTTGAGGCGCGCACCGTCCATGTCAAACTCGGCCTGCTGCCGGAGGTGCTCGAGCTCTTCGTGGAACAGCAGGTGACGGAAGCGCGCTTGGTAGTTGACCAAACTCAAAGGGCCTTCGAAATCCACGACCGGCAGCGGCGACGGGACGGGATACGGTGCCAACGGCACACTACGCTTGGATCTCGTGCTCTTGGCCGAGTGCTTGTCACCACCGGTCGGTGGCACAAAATGCAGATTGGTGCGCTTCTTGCGTCGTTGCCGCTTGACGGGGGCGGACGCGATCGCGTCCCGCGTCTCTGCGTCCATACCTGCATCGACGGCGTTGACGCCTTCGACGACGCGGCCAATGAAAAAGACGGTGCCGTGGCGTGTCACAAACTCGAACGCGAGGATCGTCTTGTACTGACCGGGCACTTTGGGCGAAAAGTGGCACGGAATGTTCAGGGTCGTGTTGGGTGCAAAGGCAATGTTGGTGCCGATTTTGGGGCCAAACTTGAAGGGCGTACTGCCCTTGGATGTCGCGACTTGGAAGACGCGGCGCAGCGTGATCGACTCGGTTGCGCGGCTGGTTACGGTGTAGAGCTGCGTCGCCGACGTCTTGGTCTCGACAACACGACGAAAGACATTGTTGTCTTTGATCTCGACGCCATACTTGTCGGCGGTAAACTTGGCGCCGTAGAGCTTGAGGAGCTTGGCCGGCGAAGGGTCGTTGGCGGGCGACGCCGCCTCGTGGGATGCACCGCCAACAAAGAAATCGCCGTCCGTGGAGCGAATCGGTGGCGTCGCCGAGGCGCCGTGGTCCTTCACAAAGCCCGACGCATTGCTACCGTTCGCGTATATGACTGCGCTGATACCTGGGTACTCCTTGTAGAGGTCGCCTAGGCGCGACCCCGGGATGCGACCGCCGTTCTCAGCGATAAAGCCGCCGACGATCTTGAGCACCGACGCGACGGTCAGCGGCTTTGAGTCGTTTTCGACCCACGCAAAGTCGTTGTCGACAAGAATGGGCGGGGACGCCTGCGGCCCGTGCGTTCGGAGGAACGCTGCAAGTGACGGCTTGAAGACGCCCTTGTCGTTCGGGTGCTTGGTGTAGTAGTCACCCATGTTGGAAAATCGCAACTTCCCGCCGAGACTCACAATGTACTTGCCGAGACGCCGGATCGCGTCGTGGGCACCTTGGGGCACAGCGCCAAGCTGCGCCCGAGCGAGCGACTTGGCAAGCACCTCGTTGTACATGGCGGTTGTCATGAGACTCTTCATGCGAGCGTAGGCCGCCGGAAGGTGCTTGACGTCCTGCGCAGCGTAGTCGAGGCGCTGGGCTTCGATCGGGCGGCGGTCCCAGAGACCAAAGCCATGCTGCACCGAGTCCTTTTGCGTGTTGATGGCGCCCGCGTACTGGTGCAGAATCTTGTTGAGACCCACGAGCGTGTTGGGGCTACTCGTCAGCACTTGGTGCGCGACTTGCGTGTCAAAGAGGTTGGTCAAACGGAGGTTAAACTGCCCCGCAAGACCCGTGTAGTCGTGGCGCGCATCGTGCAAGACAGCGAGCTTGGACGTGAGCACGGCGACGATCTCGGGCTCGCGCAAGATCGCAGGGCACACGTAGACGTCGAGAATGTAGACGCAGTCCGACCGGCACGAGACCTGGAGCAGCGACATCTTGCCAGCAGCCTCCAAGTCGCCTTCGAGGTCCATGAAGAGCACGTCCGACTGCTTGAGGACCGCGAAGGCTTGCTTGGCGCCTTGCACAGTCGTAATGTACTTGTACGCAGCTGGCGGCGTTGCCGTTGTCGATGCTGAAGGCGATGTGGTCGGCGGCGGCGACCCCGGTTGTTGGGTCCACGTGATGCCGAGCAGCTTCTTGTCCCCGACGATTACGAGCTGAAATTGACCCAGACACCCGTGTATCTCGATGAACTCGGTGCATGAAGCGATCTTCGCGGACGACCACATAAAGCCATACGCAGGGTGAGCTTTTCGAAAGCCGCCCAAGAAGCACCCAATGTCTGTTGTGGTGCGGTTCGGCAACGCCGCCTCACCGAGAGCCTTGATGGCCTCAGACGTCGCAGCAAACTGAATCGCATGCGCGACGACGGCGAGCGGATAGGCAGCAGACGCGCCATGAGCTGCAATGAAGGCTTCGATGCCGCCGGCGTCGGCGACAGTGGCCTTGAGCTTTTTCCGTGCTTTGGTCGAAGAGTAGAACGACTCGAGCTCTGCCACGCGCACGTAGCCATGGCGTGCTTGCACGTAGGTGCATAGAGCATCCACGCACGCCTTGGCGGCCATGCTCGCACGATGGTCAGGCAAATGCAAAGTGGCGACATCCAATCCAATCCAACGTCCATCTGGAGCGACCATGTACCGTACGCAATATACGTCAAATGACTTGTTTTGCGTATGTGTCGAATGTACTAAAGTATATAGTACGCGTACATCGTACAAAATACAGCAATTTGATTCGTCGTCATTGATGCTTGACGAGCCCTATTCGTGCAGACTGGTCGAGCTCCCTCGAGTCCGTCGTGCCTGTAGAACATACCGGTCGACTAAAATTGGGAGAACAGATCAGCGAGGCGGTGTTCTCGCAGGCTTTTGGCCGCGCCGACCTCACTCCTCCCGGACAACTTGATAATATGATATCAACTTCAACGCATCAATATAATCGTCATCATACAAATATCCCACTATTTCCAAGAGACATCCTCCGACTTGCAAGTGAGCGAGATTGCCGTGCGTGTACCACGCTTGCTCGGGCTACAAAACTCAATCAATGCCTACCCAATTCTAACACTTTTCCGCTGCAACTTCTACGATGACACTGGTAGATCATGTGTGGTGTCGTATGAACCTAGGGCATTGACCTCATTAGCAATGCAATGACCGCAGCTCTACAGTTGCTATAGCTATTCGCCCAAACTGGTTTTTGTGATTCAAAGCAAAGCAATCGCCATCGATCGTATATGGATCGTATATTTCGAGGTGCAAGGCCAAGCAAATGTCGAGTTACATTGATTTTCACAAACAAGATCGTTTGCGCACGAGTGGGCGCGGACTAATCGTGTATAAAGTCTCACAGTGTGTGGCAGCAGCCGAAGTCCACCACGTCATCGGCGGCAATTTCGCTACACTCAATACTGCACGACCCCCTCTTTGCCCAGAGAGTAGAGCACTCGCATTTATATCAACATCGAGTTCGCGCTCTGGCAATTGCGTCGCTCGGGCGCGCGGTCGACCGGCCGTCGAAATGGCTACACTAGTTTCTCATATCCCACGTTGTCATCGGAGCCGACCTTGCTCTGTAGCACACTTGTTTTGAAAGCATCAAGCCTGCATCATCATGTGGCACAGAGGCGCCGAGCATGCGTGTCCTTTGCGCCGCGTACCTTGTTAAGGGTCGCGTCATCCTGTGCCCTTCACGAGAGGCATGCATTCTCAGAGGTTTTTCATCCACGTCAACATTGAGGACCATTTTAGATTTGGTCATGTGGAAGCCCGTGGTCTTCGGCGTCGTCGCCATCCTCGCGACGCCGCTGCTCGTGCTCTGGGGCGCCGTCGGCTGGGTCCTCACGCGCCCACCACTTGCGGCAGCGACGACGTCTGTTGCAGCCGTCCTGGCGCTGGCCATCGCAGCTTACGTCGACGACGCGACCATGCTCTTTGACGTCCCCGCCGTCCTCGCCGTCGTGCTGGGCCTCTTTATGACGCTGCCAAAGAAGACGCTGTACGACTGGCCGCTTCTGATTGCGTTTCTGTCGTTCGCCATCGCGCGCCGCGTGTGCCTTCCGACGCCGCCGACGTCGCTGCCCAGTACGACGATGCATGCGTTCTGCTCCTGTTGATGCGCGCCTTTGTAGATTGGATCACAGTGATCAGCTGCGTGGGCCTCATCTGGGGCTACACCACAACGCGGAAACTCTGGGTCTCAGCCAACCTCGAGACGCTCACGGTGATCGAAGACCGCCTGTACAAGGCGCACATCATGGCCGAGTACACCATGCTGAAAGTTGGTGGCCTTGGCACCGTCCACGTCCCGTACTGCGGCGAGAAGCGCGACGAAAGCCGGTTGCCGCCGCTCAACCTCGTCTTGGTCCATGGCTACGCCGCCGGCAACGCGTTTTGGGCCACGGTACATCACGTCTTTAACTCGCGCTCGTTGATCTCATGCCCGCGTGTAGAATTTACAAACGTTGGCCAAGCACTACAACGTCGTATGTCTCTAGCCTTTCGCCTTGGGTGTCCATAATGTTCGTCTCATGCCTTGCAGTATGCGGTGGAGTGGCTTGGCATTGGCCGGTCGGACCGACCCGACCCCAAGTTTGCATCGGTACCCACTTCGAATCCGGCGAACGCAGTACTTAGTTGTATGTGTTTGGCTAGTACGATGAAGCCGACGCCTTCTTTGTCGATGCGATCGAGCGCTGGCGCAAGGAGATGCAGGTACATATTGTGTGCAGCTTCGTGCATAACTGTTCCGCTCACGGTGTCGCATATTAGCTCGACCAATTTGTGCTGGCGGGCCATTCGATGGGCGTACGATCGTCGTCCTCGATCTCGCGTCCTAAAAGAGTTATTAGGGCATCTTTGTGACGCATTACGCCGTCAAGTACCCCGAACGCGTCGAGGTACATGCTTCGAGTCTCCTAGCAGACTACGTACGCGATTGATCTGTGTAGCAACTCGTCTTGATCTCACCGGCGGGCGTCGGGTATCCGCCCAAAGATGCGTCCGAGCCGCGCTCGTACTTCTTCCGCATCGTGCGCATGGGCTGGCGCGCTGAGATGACACCCATGGTACAATACTCTCTCTTTTGAGGACGATATTCATAAAGGACTAGGCCATTGTGCGTTATCTTGGTCCGTTTGGCCCGAAGCTCGTGAGCTGGATCTTGCAGCGCCGCATGAGTTGGCTTCCCGACACGAGTGTGCTCAAGAGCGGGATCCTTGACCCTGCACTCATTGCGGACTACATGTACCACAACTGGGCCCTGAAAAAGTCGGGCGACGTGGCCATGAACACGCACCTCTTGCCGGTACGAATCGACAGTACCTCTTGCAGTCGCTCACAAAGGCTGGTATTGTAGGGCGCCTTTGGCAAGCGTGCGCTCCGGGACGACCTGCTTCCGGGGCAAATCAAGATGCCCGTGACCTTTCTGTGCGTAACGAAATGGCTCTGTCGAGGACGCTTGTGATAGAGATGTACTAGGTATGGCGGTGGATCGGACTGGATGGACTATAACCACGGCCAAGACGTTGTCGACCGACTCAAGACCACGCAGTACGCATCTCTGCGCAAGGTGCCCCTCGCCGGCCACCAAGTGTTTATGGACAACGCCGCTGCCTTCAATACGATGCTCATTGACGCCATCACCGACGGTCTGGAGCTGCGTTCGTTCCGCACAGAAGCGTACTAGCCTAAAACAAAGTTCCCAGTTCAACGCATACTGCCTCTTGGTATAGAACCGCATTAGAAAGTTGCTTTTAACGTCAAGCGCACACAGTGGATTGCGGCCAGCATCGAGTTTTGGAAATTCCAGTGAGGAGCAGACCACGCAAGCGAGGGCCAGTGCCGAGAGCGCGGCCGCGTACGATCGACGAATCTGGGTGCATGCGCAGCGCAACGCACAGTGCCCAAACAACCGCGCACTCGTACTAGTAGGTCTCGACGAGGGTTCAAAGCCCGACAGTTGCAGCGACGACAACATCTATGCGGGTTCGCAGCTCGATTCACTGGTAGCAGCAGTAGTGAAGATACGTCCGCTCTCACTAGCTGCGCGGGATTCATTTCCTAGCATGACTCTGAATACCAAGTGTCTACGCACATTCGACGGGCAGGAGTCCATTGGCCAAGACAGCTCCCGTACAGGACGGCGGCCGCTGAAGAGAGAACGTCATGTGTGCTGCTGTACAAACTTGCATGTCCCGTAGACAAGACTACAGCGGTGATGTCGTGTTAGGTTTATGCAGCGTCTCGATGTTGCATTGTTTAACGACTTGAGTCCAGGAAAATATTGATGCATTGCAGCCTTTGCCGCTCCCGAGGCGCCCCGTTTTCTAGGCCGCACCAAGATCACGTTGCCGATCGTCCTGCACCGCGACCTCCAGTCGTTGACGCCGCCTCAGTCGCTGGCGTCTCTCGAGGACCTCAACAAACTGCGTAGCTTTGCCGCCGATCGCGACGCCTGGAAGGAATCTACGGAACTTGTCATCATGGGCCTCACCCGCGGCCACAAGCGTCCCCGGCCTCACCCGCGGCCACAAGCGTCCCCGCGCGACTACAGAAGAACAAGATGCACCCCCGCGCCGCCGCCTGCGCAGCCACGGCCCGGTGAGCGAATGAAGAAGAAGGAGATTGCTAGTCTCTACGTATGCGAACTCTTTGTAACAACGAAGATAACGCGAAACACGTTCATATATATATTGCAGCCCCAGAGCGCCAGGGTTTGACCTGCGCAGGCCCGAGAGATGTCCACGTCATGATGATTTTTGGCCAATCAGATGCCAAGGATATTTTATCCGCGAAAATCCATGTCACAATTCGATTTTCTGCGCAGGAGACAAGGCAAGAACAAGCGCCCCATGAGCCCCGCGACCGAGGACGGCGGGGACCCCCCGGAGACGCTCCGCCAAGCCATTAAGGCCTCCATGCGCCTCCGTGAAGCCATCCGAGCGACCGACGAAGATGCGCTCAAGCTCGAGGTAGAGCTGTTCAACAAGCAATGCTTCTTGATCGCATGCTTGTCAAGCATGCGACCGCGCTGGGCTTGAAGCACTGGGTCGTTGACGAAGACATGCTTATAGACTCGACGACACTGCTCCAGCGCCTTCCCGCGCCCGAGAAGATGCTGACGCAGACGAGCTGCGAGGTGTCAGCCATGGACGATACGCCTACGGACGACCAGGCCGTTGCCCGTGCAAGCGGTGGCGCTGTGGTTTTTGGCCACTGCATTGGGTTCCATGGCTCGTCCAAGAGCGTTAAGACGGCCATCTTGCAGACCCCGATTGAGTGGGAGCTCGAAACACCCACGATGAGCACGGACGTGGCGGAAGCGTGGTTTGCCAGCGCCAGTGATGCCAATGACTTTCAGGTCGCGGTCCACTCGAGCGGTCACGCACGCCCGCTACGTGACGGCAGTCATCTGCCTCCGCGCGGATCCTCCGGCGTGACTTACTGTACGTCTACGTGTACATGAAATCGTTTGACTTGAACGCGTTGTTGGGGCCGCTCAACGAGTGGGCGATGGCCGAGGCCGCGAGTGGACGACGGCCAAGGACTTTCTGTTCGACTATAGCTTGCATGTGCACAGTGGCACCTCCCACGTCGGCGGCAGCTTCTGGAAGACGGTCCACACATCTCGACCGAGTTGGACGTGGCGACTGCGGAGCTCCAGACGATGTGTCCAGCCGACCAGGCACCGAAAGACCTCTCGATGAACTACAGCAGCTTTCCGTACCAAAGCCGCGTCGACGCATGCGAGAGCACGCTGCAGGACGAGCTCCGAACGCGGTGCAACACTACGACGCAGATCGAGTGCACGGGGCCTGATGCGCTGAGCGTTGCGATCTTCAAGCAGCGACTCGCCCTCGACTGCGCGACATGGCACGTCATTGACTACCCGACAACGCACATCGGCGTCTGGGACCTTCTTGCGGCGGCTGGTTATGAGCAAGCTGCCAACCTCGTGCGTGATGCGGGGCTCGACCTCGTCGCGGGATGTGAAATGATACCGGACGTCGAGGCGGCTGTGCACGCTGTGTACACCGAGGCATGGGTGACCAACCCGACTTTCGGCACGCACATGAAGTGCACAAATGTCGGCTGCGCGGACGACGCTGACGAGACAATTGCCCAGCTGCTTGACGCCGCGACCGCTGGCAAAATTGACGACAGAGCGCTCGTCGACATCACTTCGCTCGCACTTCGCTACGGCCCTCTGTTCGAGGAAACGTCCATGGCCAACTACATGCGGGACCGGCATCTGCACACGAGCAACATGGTTGCCGGTCTCGAGAATCTTTGGCGCGAGCTTTCGCACACCTCCACGGCCAACAGAGACGCAAATGCCAATCTTCAACAGCTTTGCGGTCAAGCACCTGCTTGATGGCTTCCCGTTGGAGCTCATGAATGGCGATGCCGGCATGGTCAACGACAAGTAGATCGCTGCACTGCCTGGACAAGACGCACATGTGTGTGTGCTCTCGGTCATGGGCGTCCAGTCGTCGGGCAAGTCGACGCTGCTCAACTGCATGTTTGGCGTCCGCCTCCGAACGAGCGTCGCTCGGGTGCACGCGCGGCGTCAACTCCCAGCTTATCGCTTGCGACAACGGCGGCGCGTACGACTGCATCTTTCTACTGGACACGGAAGGCATCAGTTGCCCGAGAGCACGTCGGTGTCGAAGGCACGGTGTGGCGTGACAACCGCATGACGTATGTAGCTATCTTGCCCGCCGATGCGACCATCATCTTGACCAAAGGCGAGTCAACCAACATGATTAAAGACGTGCTCCCGATCGTGCTCTCGGCCTTTGCCAACTCGAAGCTGGCAGCCACCTCTGGCGGTCATCTCTCGTCCAAGCTCTACTTTGCGTTCAACCAGATTGACGTGACGCAGACGAGCACCATGGGCATGCGTCTTCGAGCGCTTCTCGGCAGTCTGCGCAGCAGCGCCAAGCAGATCGCTGCCGTGCGGCAGTCGCAGTCGGCAACATCGACGATGTTCCTTCGCGACTTTCACACCGTCATCACGGACGATGCGCGCTGCGACGTTCGCATTCTGGGTCTGACGCAAGGCCAGACGACGCCACCTAACGATGTGCCGCTGCCCGATTTTGGCGACCGTCTTGTCCGCTTCCGTAATCACATGCACTTTCGGGCTAGTATCGATGACCAAGAGTAGCAAGCGCGGACCATCGGCGAGCTCGGCGAGAGCTCGGACTTAGTCTGGATGTGTCTTCAGAGCGCCAACTTTGAACTGGACTTTGCGTCGCCACGTGAACGCGTCGTGTACGACCAGCTGATCCAAGCCATGGCAGGGCACACGCAAGAGCTCGCCAAGATCTACAGTGAGGCGTTTGACGCGGTGCTGCAAACGATGAGTGCCAACAATGCAGCTGAAAATGCGCCGGAAGCCAGCCGGAGCCGAAAGTATGAGATTCTCCTCCAGCATCACGTGGAGAGTGCGGTCGCCACGCTGGACGCTGTCGTGGCAACGACGCTGGACCAAAACGAGTTTGCCAAGTGGGCCACCGCGATGCACGATACGTGGGCGGACAAGAAGCAGCGCCAAGCGTCGCACTCAGTGCGCCTTGTGCAGTCCAAAGTCCAGCTTGAGGTTGACGCGATCACCACGGTCTACAAGGAGGAAATTCAAACGGACATTGTCGAATACATCACCAAGTGCGGCCCCGTGAAGACAATGACGGCTTCTGACAGGTGCACCTTCCACGACGGCGTCTTCTTATGGAAGACGGTCCACATCTCAACCGAGGTGGACGACGTAATACCCGCGGCGCTCCAGGCAATGCGTCTGGTCGGCAGACGTCGGCGAGTCACGGTATCTTGAAAAAGGTTGGGGATCCAAGAAGATGCACCCGTTGACTGTGTCCAGCTTCATCCAAATATCTCGGACTTGAAATGCATCGCCTTGATATACGTAAGAGGTGGAATGATATGCAAACTACGCTCGACTGTAGCCTGAGCTCTGACTAGACCAAAGTACGACTTGCCGTGGACTTCATCAACGTATGACTTGCGGTGAACTTGGCGTTGAGCTCTGCGTCCGTAACAAAGTGACTGCCACCCTCGCAGCGCCAGCCCCCCGAGAGCTGGAACCACTCGAATCCCATCGGGCACTTGCAGAGGCTGCGAATGCGCTCTTGCACTTCCGCTTCTTCCTTGAGCTTCTTGGCCAGCGCTTGGGCGTCGAGCTCGCGATGCCACTCTGCCAGGTGGGCTTCGTGGGCTTGTTTGGCCGCCTCGAGCTCGGCCCAGTCCGCGTCGGAGACGCCTGCATCGCGCTGACATGTCTTCATCGTCGCCTTCTCACAAGTGCGACTGGCCTCGTTGTTGTGCATGGCTTCCTTCGTGCGCTCGGGGGCGCGCGATGCCACAGCAGAGGCCACAGCCGTTGCCACCGTGTCAGCAAACATGGAAGCCACCTTTGCAGCCAGCGGCGAGACGATAGTGGCGCGGGCGCGCACGATCTCATCGCACGCAGTCTCCACGTCGGCTTCGAGGATTGCCTTTGGCAGCTGCGCCGGGAGCCCAGCGATGCGGTCGGCGCGGGCTCCGAGGACGGCCTTCCAGACGCTCTGGACGTCGCGGCCGTTGCCCCAGCCTGGGAGCGTCCGCAACACGCCAAAGTACGTGGCAAGCGCCTCGTGGACGGTCTCGTCGGCCACAAAGTTGCTTTTGGCCATCGTCGTCTTGACAAAGGCGACGCAGTCTTCCGGCGACCAGTCGGGAAAGTCAAAGAAGCGAGTGAAGCGGCTTTTGAGCCCTCCGTTTGTGGTGAGCATGGCGTCCATCTCGCGCGGATACCCGGCGACGACAATCACAAGGCTCTTGTACGTTGGATCAGTCATGGCCGCGACAAGTGTCGCGACGGCGTCCCGGCCGTACGGGCCCTCGGCGAGCGTGTACGCTTCGTCGATGAAGAGGAGGCCGCCGTTGGCCGCCGAGAGCTTCTCCAGGACGACCGTCTTGGTCTGGCCCACAAAGTTACCCATGAGTTCAAGCCCCGTCGTCTCCACGACACTCTCCACGGTGAGCAAGTCCAGCTGGAACAAGATGGTTGCCAGAGCCCGCGCGACCGTGGTCTTGCCCGTGCCGGGGGACCCTCGAAAGACAAAGTGTCCAAGCGCTGGCAGCGCATCGCCGTCAGCGCGCGCCACGAGCATCGCGTTGCGCAAACTCAATAGCGCCTTCTTGATGGTTGCCATGCCAAAGAGACCGTCGAGGGCTGCAAACGGGTCGGCAGAGACCACCTTTGCGTCGCTGAAATCGTCGGGTTGGAGGACGATGCAGGTGCCAGGGCGCAGCGACGCCTTGGCCATGGCGCGGTGCACGAGCGTATTGACGGCACCGGCGTTGCCAAAGTTGGCCAACGTCTTCTGCTTCTCCAGCACGTTGAGCGCGACCTCCATCGCCATGGACGAACAAGTGACTTCTTCTTGTTTGCACGTGTACTCGAGGAGCTTCAGCAGCTCCATGGCCGAGTAGTCTTCAAAGACAAAGGCGGCTTCGCGCGGGAATCGGCGGGCCAACCCCGGGTTTTGCTCCCGGAGCATGGTCAGCATTTGTGCCTCGTACCCAAGAAGTAGCACGGCAATGTCTTCACGGCCCGTGCTCTGCACCTTCTCAACGAGGACGTTGAGGACTTCCTTGCCGTAAATCCCTTCGTTGAGCACGTAGGCCTCGTCGATGACGAGCACCTTGCCTTTGGCTTGCTCGAGCGTAGCGAGCGTCCGCTTTTGCGCGTCGCCGACGTGGTCACCCATGAGGTCACTCGCCGTCTTGAGCACAACGTCGCCGCTCGAGAGAAGGCGCAGCTCCTTGAGGATGCGGCCGTAGAGCGCTGCGCACGTCGTTTTGCCCGTGCCGGGGTTGCCGAGAAAGAGGCGGTGGAGGCGCACGGGCAGCGGCGCCTTGCCCGCGAGCGTGCGTTCCTGGTTCTTGGTGCAGAGCGCGAGCAGCTCCTTGACGCTCTTCTTGACGGCGGCCCAGCCAATCTTGGCCTCGAGCTCGGCCATGTAGCGCTGCAGCTTGGGGTTCCCCGAGACGTGCTCGGCCATGACGTCTTCCAGACACAGCGCCAGCGACTGGCCGCGAAAGGTGGGTCGCGCCATGGCCCGCTGCGTGGCGGCCTCGACCTCCTGCCGCACCGACCGCGCGTTACCAAAGCCCTTGGTGTTGGCGCCGACAATGAGCTTCTTGGCGACGAGCGTTGCAAGCTCTTTCGGAGCGGTCCAACCGCGGGCGGCGACTTGCAGGCGGCAGACCTCGGCCAGCTCCGTCACATCAAAGTCCTCAAATGTCACAAACTGAAATCGACTTTTGAGGCCAGCGTTGAAGTCAAACAGCTTGGTCTGCAAGTCCGTCTCGTAGCCCGCGAGGATGATCGTGATGCGGTCCCGGAGGTTTTCGGCCGCGGTGAGGAGGGCGGCCACGATCGGCTTGCCGCGGAGGTCGCCTCCTGGATCAAGATCGTACGCCTCGTCAATGAACAAGACGCCGTCCAAAGCACTCTGCACGAGCTTGTCGAATGCCGGTGCACCGGCGTCCTTGAGCTGCCGCGCGTCCGTCTCGACAAAGACGTCCTTCGAGCGCAGCTTTGAGGCGTGGAGCAGCGTCGCAAAGTGGCGCGCCACCGTGGTCTTGCCCGTGCCCGCGTTGCCCACAAAGCAGTAGTTTAAAGAAATTGGGTTCTTCTGCCGCATCTCGGGCGTCATTTGCGCGAGCGCCGCCGAGGTTTGAAAGAGCCCAATGGCGAATTGCTTGACTTTTGAGATTCCCACGAGGTCAAGAAGGGCGTCCATGGCCGGCGCCGCCGCTGGTGGCTTTCCGGGTAACGTCGCCCAGAGCTGTCGAGTGCACGTGTTCGTGTGCGGCGATGGCGACTCGGCTGGCGCCGGCGCAAGGTGCTGTTTCTCGGCAGGGAGCAGCCATGCGTCCGTAGCGTCCGGGTACTTGGTCGCAAACGCCTTTACAAACGCGAGATCCATGAGCCAGCGACCCAGCACGAGCAGCAGAATCGGGTGGGCGGTGCTGCTCGTGAGCACCAAATGGCGGAAGTAGCTCTCAATGTGGCTCGTCACGGCGGCTGCGTCATCGCCGGGCAAGTGAAGCAGCTCGAGCGCGTACAGCAAGTCGAGCTCGGGGATCGGCTTCGAGAGCTGCAAGGTGCGAAGCAGGTTGATGCCCGCGAACGGTGAGGCTCGGGAAGACACGCATTGGAGCTTGGACGTGAGCTCTTGCTGTAACGCCGGGTGCGCCACGAGCGAGACGCCGTCCCAAGGGCTCGCAAAGACGACTCCCCGCAGTCGCTTGTCCACGGCCATGTTGGTGGTACGCAGAAGCCTCTCGACCTGCCCGACTTGGTCGCTGCGGACTGCCTTTTGCAGAGGCGACTCGGCGTCTGGGCGCAACTTCGCGGCGTCAGCCTGTCCCTTCCGCGACGCTCCGCGCAGCGTCGATTTGCAGTCCTAGGTACAGTCAGTATTTTTTTAGCGATATGCAATGATGACGTCACCGTGATAACGTCGTCGGGTCGTACGCTGCCTATGGAGTTAACTTTTGCGCCTGCGCCCAAGAGCAACTGCACGGCGTCAGCGTGGTCCATCTTTCTCGCAAGGTACAGTGCCGTATCGCCGTCCCAGGTCGTAGTTTAGCGATATGCGATGATGACGTCATCGTGATAACGCCTTCAGATCGTACATTGTTTAACCAGTTGACTTTGGCGCCTGCACCCAGGAGCAGCTGGACGGCGTCAGCATGGCCATTCCGCGACGCTTCGTGCAGCGCTGTATTGCCGTTCTAGGTCGTAGTTTTAGCGACAATGACGTCACCATGAAGGCGTCTTCGAGGCGTACACTGTCTCTGCAGTTGACTTTGGCACCGGCTCTGAGGAGGCGCCGCACGACTATGATGTGACCCTCGTGCGCCGCAACAATGAGCGGTGTAATGCCAGTCTAGTTGGTGTGGTAGATTGTTTCTAGTGCTTGGTATCGTTGCATGTACTCACCTTGGAGGGGTGGTCGACATTTGCGTGGGCATCTAGTAGGAGACCCACGACTTTGTCGTGGCCGTTGACAGCGGCGGCGAAAAGCGGCGTGAACCCGTCCTAAGGCGTGTGGTCGTCAGCCGTCGTCGCTACCGCGGCGGTTACCGAGTCGCACCAGTCGACATTGGCGCCCTGGCCGAGTAGCTGTCGCACATGATCCACATCGCCGTGCCACGTTGCATTGCACAGGCAGACGCCGAGACCCTCCTATTCACCGTTGCAGACGCGATCACGACCACCACAACGTACCAGTCGCGCGCGATTGCTGCTGCCTTGTTGTGCGGCAGCCACCTTGGTGGAGACGGATTCACTGGGCCGAGGGCAGCGATGCATGGCCGTCTTGATATAGTCGGCTGTGCTCAAGTAGTTGTTGCGATACGCTGCCGTGTACGCTGTCTCCTTGCACTAGACACATAGATTGTTTGTGACGAATAACACCAAGTTGGAACGTACGCAAAGAACGTGGGGGTCAGCACCGGCTTGTAGAAGAAGTCTGACAACGGCTTCTCGGCCCCGCCTCGCCGCAATGTAGAGGGGTGTCGTTCCGTCCTAGACATTGTTACACTGACATCCACACACACATCTGCATTACCTCGTCTTTCCAATCGACGTTGGCACCTTGTTGTATGAGGGAGGTCACGCGTGCCGCGTTTCCGCGCGAAGCCGATTCGTATAGATCCGGACCGAGGTCCTAATCGCAGACGCGATGATACCAACCATCGAGTCGTCGCCTACGCTCATGCTTGTCGTCTCCTCGCTGGTGGCTGCGGTCTGAGCAGCGCCACTGGCCCGAGGGAAACGACCCATGGCCGATTTGAGAATTTCGGCTGTGCTATAGTACTTGTTGCTCAACGCTACCGTGTACGCTGTCTCGTTGTTCTAGACACATGGATTGTATGAGATGATCATCTCAACACCAAGTTGCGGCGTACGCAAATAACGTGGGGGTCGGCACCGGCTTGTAGAAGAAGTCTGACAACTTCTTCTTGGTACCACAGCGTCGCAACGTAGAGGGGTGTCGTTCCGTCCTAGTCATTGTTACACAAACGTCCACACACACATCTGCATTACCTGATATTTCCAATCGACGTTGGCACCTTGTTGTATGAGGGAGGTCACGCGTGCCGCGTTTCCGCGCGAAGCCGATTCGTATAGATCCGGACCGAGGTCCTAATCACAGACGCGTTGATACCAACCATCGAGTCGTCGCCTACGCTCATGCTTGTCGTCTCCTCGCTGGTGGCTGCGGTCTGAGCAGCGGTCTCCAATGCGCCAGATGTAAAACGCTTCTGGCATTTCGAAAGGGTGCGATCTTAAATAGGCGATCTTCTGTATCCGGATAGATACAACGTCCTGGAGATGCACAACTTGATCAACACATAAGGTATGATTTCAAGTACCACGTAGTGTAAAAAGTTTTTTGCACCGAAGGTCGAGCGAGCGAAGGACCTTGAAAGATCCATATATATATATATATACTAGTATATTATACTAGTTCAGCAACCCCGGTAGACCGCGATGTACGCCTAGCGGTTACGATCACGGTTACAGTCACAATAGTCGGGCTTCGTCCTTCAGCGGCAACACTACAGGCGTCGGCCTGGAAGGACACGGCACGGTACTCAAAGTCGACACCCGCAGCGCCATCGAAGCCATGGCCACTGCGTCGCCGTCAGTCGCATGCAAGGGTACATAAATAGAATTTATGTACCCTTGGTCGCATGTCGCCAACGCCTGACGGCGACGCGACTACTGGCGATTAGGGTACTTGTACGACTACTGGCCCCGATGCAGGGGTACCTATTATGTACCCCTGCCCCGATGCATCGGCTCCCGTGGCCATGGCTTCGATGGCGCCGCGGGTGTCGACTCTGACAAGACAATGGCGGCTTTTGACAGCATCATTGACGAGATTCTCGACAAGGCGCGCAAGGTCAAGCCGCCGCTCGCCTCGCAAGTGCCAAAGCTCGTGCATGCCGTCATCTACGACGTCGGCATCGTTACCCCCGACAAGCTTCGACTCTTGACCGGCGACGACGATGATACGTCTTGGTTCCGAGGCGATCTACGAAAAACTGTTCCGGCGTGCCAACGCGTCGCGCAAGGAAGAAATCGTCGAGGCCGTGCGCGAACGCGTGTGCAGCGACCTTTCGTCACTCGGACGATGTGGCGATCTCGAGCGTGATGAGTGTCAAGTGGTTTTTAAACCCATGCATTTGAAGCAGTCCAAGCTCAAGGTTGGCCTCCGCACGCTTTTCTCGACGCTCAAGACCGAGCTCCGGCAACGGCGAGAGCGTTGAGACATTACCAACAACGTCGTTGCCAAATTTGAAGCGTATCGGCCGAGTATGCTTCGCTTTGCGCAAAGCGTGTGCGACGGCCAAGAAGCTGCTCAGCTGCTCTTGACGACACTTATCGAGGGGCTCGGTCTCCACTTGATGGAAGCGTTTGAACAAGAAGTTATGGCCGTCATTACCTCAGCACTCAAGAACGCGCGTTGGGTGCGCGCTGCTGACGCGATGCAGGCAACCTTGGACATGGTCTTCTTGCATCTCATGTGGAAGCGGGAGATCGGCACGGTGCTCGAACACATCGGGCAACCGACTGAACATACCTCGGTCGTCACGCGCCGCCTCGTACTGGCCAAGGTCCAAGAGTGCTACCTCCGCGTCGCCAAGAAGCTCGTGCTTGACGTCAAAGAAAGCATTGTAAGTGCGAGTGCCGCCGCGCGCGACGCCGTGAGCAAGCGCAGCGAAGCCTTTGTCCACGCACTTCGCCTCACGCTCCAGAGTCGGCTCAAGTGCAGCGGCACGAGTGCGCTGATTGAAAGTCTTCCGTCGGTCGCGGGGGACGTCATGAACTGTGACGACCAACGACCGTCTGTGTTTGCTCTCTCGGCTGGTCGTGACCAGACATGTGAATAAAATAATTTGTGTTTATTTGAATTTAAATTCTAACAAATATATCCCGGTAAATTATTTAATTGCGGGCTATGGCAAATACAAATTATTTATTTTTGACACTTATGGTCCAAATAAAAATTCGAATTGGCGAATTTGAAAAAGTCGTATCGAGCAATCACATAGGCCGTATCCATCAGGGGACTACCTCGTAGGATGTGGGTGGAATAGAGACTAGGCATTGGCTATAATTCGGAAATGGAGACCAGGCATTGGTCGATTTAATTTAAACGGCACAGGCCGGAGACCAGGCATTGGTCTAAATTGAAGTAATTCAATCTAACACTCGAAGTTCGTCGAAGTTCGAAATCCGGATCTTCGTATCTTTGACACGAACCCGCCGACCGTTGCGGCCGTTGCATCGGCAGTTGCAAAACTATGGACTGCCGCAGCTCCGCGGCAAGCGGGTGGCGATGCGCGTGCGAGTGAGCGACCTCAATGGCCGGTCGTGCTTGTCTTTCGTAGTGCGCCATCCAAG